AGGCGAACGAAGCGTGACATCTTTCTTTCGTCTCAGAGACTGTGAAAAAAAACCCCAGTTACAGTATCGCTATTTACCTCGCTGTGTTACGTGTTAATTCACCAAAGCAGCGACTCCACATCAACTTCAGAGAGTTTAAATAGATTTCCAGGCACCTAAAGCACGGGAGTTTACCCACGCAAATTGTCCCCCCGTGTCTCTCAGTCATCGACTGACGTCAAAACAAAATCAAACGCGTCTCGCCGTTCAACCGAGCCATCTCCATCGGCGGCCCTGAGCCAGGGGTGGAAGTTCCACGTTCCCATGACAGGGGCCAGTTTGTCAGCAGAGAGACCGCTGTTGACTTGCCACAAAGTGGTAGTTATTTTATTGACCGTGGAGGGATGTTGAAGATGATCGGCTGAGTCGATCCTTCGTGAGCGTCCATTGTTAACTCGTGACCCTTCGAGTTCTACAGGGTGGCCCAAAAGTCAGGACACAAAAATGTTATTTCATTTATTTAACACTGGCATTACAATATTTTATTTTTTTATTCTTTAAATTAATATTTTATCTGTTATTATTGATTTTTCTTCTTATTTCTGTGGGCAAATGCGTCATTTACAAATCTCGACCAAGAACCCGGAATGAGTTGAGATGAAACATAATTGAGGAATGTTAAAAATTCCACAGCTGTACTATCATCTTAAAAAATACAAAGTCGCGAGTTAATTTCAAAAGAGAATTCATGCATCATGCATGAATATTAATGGAAGTCAGTTTGAACATCTGTTAAAATAAATATAATAACCCCGTGTGTCCTGACTTTAGGGCCACCCTGTATATGAAGCACCATAACCACCGCATTGGTGGCCACGTGGTGGCCAACAGAGGCGCAGATGCAGAAACGATTATTGTACCTTACTTCTACGCTACCACGTCTGTGGCCCACCGCCTTAACCAACCCGCACCGACGTTACAGCGTGGTGAGGTACGGTCTAATAAGGGGAGGCCCCCATCCAGCAGGAGATGGCCAAAACGTCCGGCGATGGCCGGGTGAGTAGGGGTCTCCCCAATTAATTAAATAAACACAGATGAGCAAAACAACTAACGGCGCTATCGTTGAAGAAATAACAGCAACAAAAAACTCGACACGTTTCTTGTCAATGACATGTTGAGAAACGGTGGCCGTTCTTTGTGGTAAAAAGGACCGATTATAAACAGCAGCAGTCGCATCAACGGATCGGGAATTTAAACCACATAAATTCTGAATAACAATTCGTTGCCCGGGCCCCTTATTTTTTCAAAACACCGCTAAGGCAGGCGTCCCTATAACCCACGCAATAATTAGAAATAATGCCAATTGTTTACCCAGGAAAGCCTCCACTGAGTCTTCTTAAGGCTCATTTTCAGGATTGTCTCCTGGTTCATTGGAATGTTTGGGCGACTCCATGAATGAGAGTCTGGCTTCGTAAGGGAGGACACCGATAGACACCGGAGAAAATCCACCACCCATATGAGGAGGTAGCACTCAGCACTGCCATCTGCTTGCCACACCTCGCAGCACCATGCCCACAACTCCTGGAAATCCCTGGTGGTCAACTATGTCACGGGAACCCATTTCATACGACGTATGACGATCCTTACACGCGCGATTTCTCGTTTAATAATATCGATATTAAACGAGAAATGATCGTACTCCTGACCGCTAACGTAACATTTAAAACCACGTCGGTTAACGCAGAGGTGAAGCCTCATTGTGGAATCACGGACGTGCGTCCTGACCGTACGACGTTAAATAAACAATAAATATCCGTAATTAAAAACGACGAGTAAACTGATCAATAACCAACACTTGCGGTTGAATGCATTTCAAATTTCAGATCATATTGATTCATATTATCACGTCCCTGCTTAAGTTATGGCAAAATCAATTTTCCTCGACCGACGCTCATTCGCAGGCGACCACCTTCATCCGTACATTTCGGCGCAGCGTCCGGCTTGTGATCTTTACCGCTCTCGTGCGTGGTTAGAATGCAGCAGTCACCTCCTGGTGGTGCGTGTTGGGCGTGATGTTTGCCGAAGGGCCGTCGGTAAATGTCACCTGTCAAGTCCACAACAAGTTGAGGAGTTCACTCCCCCAGCCCCGCCAGGGGCAACCGAGCGACCGCACGCGACTCCACACGCACTGCGTGACTCCCCACGCACCGCCTGACTTCCCACGCACCACGTGACTCCACATGCACCGTCTGACTCCCCACGCACCACGTGACTCCCCACGCACCACAACCTGGGCCTGGTGTTGGAATAGAGCCGGTTACAGTCCGCCGAGCCGCGCCGGGGCCGTGCTGAGCCAACCTGGCATGGCTCAGCAGGTGCTGTGGGTAAGAACCTATCGTCTATGTTTCACCAACACTATCATCAGCTGCCATGATCTACACATTGCTGGATGAAGGCCTCTTATGCGAGCAAAGTCTCGGGCACAATAATTAATTATCGCCAGATCCAGGTAACGACATGGATTAGAATAATAATCGTCGGTGTGGATCATAGAATTTTACGTGGTAGGCTCGAAGTCGATGGGTATTGAGAAGTCCGGATAATCGATGTGCGGATGAGAGGACCTCCACTCAATAGGAGTTGATTTTTATTTCCATGCAGCGGAAATTAAAGTTCACCGCACACGAGATGCCGGTTCCATCTCGGCCGCGACTCGGCCATCGGATGTCTGCGCTGCCAGCAATGGTTTGGGATCGACAGGCGTAGTAATTATCATCATTATAATAATAATAATCGCTAGCGCCGTGACGCACCTCCGATTAGGCCGGTTGGCTGCGTACGGTGCGAAAGCAGCTCGACAAACGTGCTGCGTGCATGATCCTTCACAGCCGCAGGAAGCAAAAAAAAATACGAAAAGTAACAAAAATCAACGGCGCGAGCAAAGGCGAGCGGCTCGCGGCCGCCTGCCGCACACGAGCACCGGGGCACCGGCGTCGCGTTCACGGCGGCGGCGATGACACCGCGAGCGCTAAACAACAACCGGCAGCGGCGTCTCGCGTATCGAGCGCGGCTCCCTGCGTCCACAGCACGGTCCGTCACTCCGTTCCCTGAGATCGCAGTCAGCTTAGCTTACACGTGTAACCCTAGCCCTGACCTTACACGTGTAACCCTAGCCCTGACCTTACACGTGTAACCCTAGCCCTGACCTTACACGTGTAACCCTAGCCCTGACCTTACACGTGTAACCCTAGCCCTGACCTTACACGTGTAACCCTAGCCCTGACCTTACACGTCTAACCCCAGCCCTGACCTTACACGTGTAACCCTAGCCCTGACCTTACACGTGTAACCCTAGCCCTGACCTTACACGTGTAACCCTAGCCCTGACCTTACACGTGTAACCCTAGCCCCGACCTTACACGTATAACCCTAGCCCTGACCTTACACGTCTAACCCCAGCCCTGACCTTACACGTGTAATCCCAGCCCTGACCTTACACGTGTAATCCCAGCCCTGACGTTACACGTCTAACCCTAGCCCTGACCTTACACGTGTAACCCTAGCCTTGACCTTACACGTGTAACCCTAGCCCTGACCTTACACGTGTAACCCTAGCCCTGACCTTACACGTGTAACCCTAGCCCTGACCTTACACGTGTAACCCTAGCCCTGACCTTACACGTGTAACCCTAGCCCTGACCTTACACGTGTAACCCTAGCCCTGACCTTACACGTGTAACCCTAGCCCTGACCTTACACGTCTAACCCCAGCCCTGACCTTACACGTGTAATCCCAGCCCTGACGTTACACGTCTAACCCTAGCCCTGACCTTACACGTGTAACCCTAGCCCTGACCTTACACATGTAACCCTAGCCTTGACCTTACACGTGTAACCCCAGCCCTGACCTTACACGTGTAACCCTAGCCCTGACCTTACACGTGTAACCCTAGCCCTGACCTTACACGTGTAACCCCAGCCCTGACCTTACACGAGTAACCCTAGCCCTGACCTTACACGTGTAACCCTAGCCCTGACCTTACACGTGTAACCCTAGCCCACGCTGAGAGGTCAGCAAGGTCAGGTTGTTTAGCCTGGGTTTGTTTTCGTTCCTCAAGGACTCTCCACCATCCACGCGGCCACAACGCTCCGTCACAAGCCACCGCGTCGTGCCATGTGGGCGATTCTCTGATTTGCAATCGCCGTTGTGGATTACCGTTCTCTCACGGTCGTTAGTTTCGCCCCCGGATTGTGCAACCGGAGCTCGCGGTAAAATTACCGGAACAATTGTTTTCCATCGCGTCCTCTTGAGAGCAAACCAAGACCAAGACATTCACATTAACAGATGAGGGTTATGGACATAATTTTCACAAAGCTGGAATCATATTTAGCCCGTTTGGGTCTGACCACAGCACCATTTGCAAACGCAAAGCCTAACAGATGCACCGGTCACAATGTGATTCAAGCATCTGTTCCACTCTTTGACACCGTGATGAATGTAGCGGCCTCTTGTGGCTGGAGGGGTCAAATGAACCCATGACATACAGCAGATAAGGAATTGTGGATTATTACGCTCGTGATTGGACGCATGCAATTGTGAGCCTTGAGAATGGATTCATCGTTACGCCCCTACACAGCCACCGTGGGCACGCCCTCTATCGACGTAATTCAACACGTCCGTCAAAAACACTGCCCAACGCAGAAAAGAAGAACGTAGCAAGCAGGATTTTGTGGCAACGCCTCTAGCAGAGAGACGATCTTTCCCGATGTATTCGTTCCTCTTCAGGGCAGCGTTATTCCGCCGTTGCGCTTGTGCGCCACTGACCAACGCAGCGCCGCGGGTTTCCCAGAGACAAAATGTCACGCAGCGCGGTTCTGCCAAGCTCCTCGGGACGGGACTCTCGGCGCTCCGCGCAACTTACAGGACACGAGTTCATGACCCCTGGTACAACGCCGCTGAACAGAGACATAGTCATCTCACCGGGCCATGGAATAGAAACTGTGGCGTCGCAGCCCTCCCGCCCCACCCCGTGACAGATTAAAAGTCAAATCAAGCACCGTTTTACAACGTTTTTACGCCTTTTAAGGCCGGTAAACTCTGTAAAAAAAAAAATGTTCCCTCCATTTTACCGAGCGGTAAACTGGGATTCTCGCGTCGCTCTCAATAAATGCCACCGTTTGATTGATTGGCAATTTTATATTTTGTACCACATTCTTTCTACACAACCACGTAAAAAAAAACACCAATGGCTAACCACAAGTTAATTAAAAATGCAACTGGGGGAGAGTGGAGGGGGGGGGGAGGGCAAAATAAATAAATAAAGCACGGTTATTGGGCACTGCCGGTGCAGGCTAAAGTCCCAGCTGACACGTTGGCAGATGTCCCCATTTTCACGCGGCTTTTGGCAAAAAACGTCGCCGGTGAAGCGCCGACGTCGCCAAGGCCGTGAGGCGGTGGCGGCGGCGGCGGCACCGCCGCGGCTACGGGTCCCGCGCGGAGTTGGAGAACATGTGCTCGTTGTATTCGGACGACTCCTCGGGGATCTGCCCGGGGATGCGGAACCCGAGGGCGGAGATGTGGTCCAAGGCCCGCTTGGGCGTGGACGTGGCGAACGCGACGGGCGGCTCGGGCCCCCCTGCGACCACCACGGGGCAGCCGGTGCGCTGCAGGAACTGGAAGAAGTTCTCCTCCACCGAGCCGTGGCTGGACGGTCCCGGCGGCTCGTCCCTCGGCCAGGGGCCGGAGCAGCGGCACCGCGCCAGCTTCTTGAGCTCCTCGCGGATCTGCCGGTTGAGCCACCCGTAGAAGAACGGGTTGATGGAGAAGGAGGAGTAGGCGAGCCACGTGACCAGCGTCTCCGCCGACTCGGTGTCGCCCCGCCGCCCGCTCGTCGCCGCGTGCAGGTGGTAGGCGAAGTGCGGCAGCCAGCACACGACGAACTGCCCCACGAGGATCATCAGCGTGACGGCCGCCTTGCCACCGCCGAAGGCCCGCTCGGGCGAGATCCTGGCGGGCGGGCCGCCGCCGCCGCCGCCGCCGCCGCCGCCGCTCGCCGACCCCGCGTTGCCCGCCACGTCGCTCACGATGGTCGTCTGGCTGTTGAGCGACACGGAGCGCTGGCGCGCGCCGTTGGTCCACGAGGGCAGCGGGCCCTGCTGCAGCGCCGCGATACGCGCCACCTTGAACACGCTGCAGTAGACCACGGTGACGATGAGGCCCGGCACCACGAAGCAGAAGACGCTGAACACCACCACGAACACGTTCTTGTACTCGCCGTCGCTCCAGTAGAGCGAGCAGCGCGCCGCCGGCGCGGCCGCGGTGCCATTGAGGGGCCACGGCGGCGCCGCCGCCGCCGCCGCCGCCGCGTCGGGGGTCGCGCGCCAGCCCAGGAGCGGCACCACGGAGGCGAGGCCGGACTCGACCCAGATGAACGCGAGCACGGAGACGGCCAGGCCGGCGCCCACGCGGCCCTCGTAGCGCATCGGGTGCACGATGTAGTAGTAGCGCTCCACCGAGATGGCCGACACGGAGAGGATGGAGGCGCTGATGAGGCACACGTTGAGGAAGACGTGCGCCTTGCAGAAGACGTCCCCCTCGCCGACGGGCGGCCCGCCGAGCGCGAGCGACACGGGCCGGCTCGACGCGATCGCCATGGGCATTAGCACGGTGGCGGAGAGCAGGTCCACCACGCACAGGTGCAGCACGAAGATGAACTTGCGTAGGGGCGGTGCGCGCAGCAGCACCACGAGCAGCGCCAGGTTGCCCAGCAGCGCGGCGGCGTTCAGCAGCGCCGAGAAGGCCAGGCCCACCGCGTCCCACGCGCGCACGCCCTCCATGCCGCCTGCCGGGGGCCGCGCGGCCGCGCCGGGCGCCCGCTGCTCGCGCGGAGGCTCGGCGAGTCCCGCGTTCGTCTGCCGAGGCGATGCGCGAACGAGCGAATGAGCGAATCAGGGAAGGAGTGAATGGGCGAATGAGTGAACGGGCGAATGAGTGAACAAAGGAATGAGTGAACGAGCGAATCAGGGAATGAGTGAACGGGCGAATGAGTGAACAGGGGGATGAGTGAACGAGGGAATGAGTGAACGAGCGAATCAGGGAATGAGTGAACGGGCGAATGAGTGAACGGGCGAATGAGTGAACGGGGGAATGAGTGAACGAGGGAATGAGTGAACGAGCGAATCAGGGAATGAGTGAACGGGCGAATGAGTGAACAGGCGGATGAGTGAATGGGGTAATGAGTGAACGAGCGAATCAGGGAATGAGTGAACGCTCGAACGAGGGAATGAGCAAACGAGGGAATAAATGTCGATGAAGACGCCGGGGAGGGAACCTTTCGAGAGGCAGCAGCGCGCGAACGAAAGTGTCAGTAGCGAGTTGCTCGTAGGAGGTAATTGCGTCGATTTTACGCGATTGCACCGTATTCATTATAGAGCGGCAGAACTCCTCTTATCCGTGACAAACAAACACCGGGAACCTTCCACTGTGACGAGACTTCCAAGCCCCACAGGGGCCTGGCTGGCAGCCAGAATTGTATGAGGAAGTGGGGGGGGCGTGAGTGAGCTTACAAAGCGGCACGAGCGAGGGACTCTGCAGGGATGTCACTGGATTAATACATTATCTAACGTGTATTTTTATTATTATTTATTGCTTCACATCAATATAGAAATTGCAAAGGCTTTCTCTACCGCTGCTCGGCCGAAATGCACTTTGCAAACGAACTAAGATAATAATGAAACTAAATTAAAACCCTCTGTTGTCCAAAGAACATTAACTCTTCGTGAAATGTAATCGCGCAATTTGTGTGCTACATAATGAGCAGAGATGTGTTCACAATGGCACTTCGATGCAATTAGCCGTTCCTATATTTACACGGCGTGTCTCACACGAGGTAGTTCATGGAACTGACTAACGTTATTACGCAACGCGGAACGTTCTGTTTTCGGTCACCTCAGAGAGACCCTGCCCTGGATAAGACACAAGTGCAACGCGTTGATTGAAAAACCCAGAGACAAGGCGGTTCGAATCCTGTAGGCTGCCCCGGTCACTACTGCAGGTGGATTAACTGCAAATACAGTGGGGATTTGTGCAGGGCATTGCCTGCCGGCGTCGCGGTCCAAATTTGCCAAAATCACTCGCAAAATGCCTAATCTGGTAAAACCACAGTGCCACTGTGATTGCCTTGCGCTATCAGACTGGCACGAATACCAAACATGTTAACTGCATCATCACCACCACGGAGATAAATAAACGGACTTAGGAGAGGCATACCCGCCGGATGGAATTGCCGTCACCTTGACACTGCCACACCGAGTGACGTCGTTATTAAGTGATGTAGGCGGTGCAACTGCACCGGGGCCCAAGTTGCCCAGAGGGAATTTTGGGAGAGTGGGGGAGGGGCGGGGGAGGGGCGGGGGGGGGGGGCCACATTTCATTCCTGGCACCAGGAGCCGTGCCAACCACGATATGCCACCTGAGGCACTGTGGCGTCAAGACGCGGGCACAGGAATGGAGCCCCTTCTCGAGGGTTCCACCAGAGCGCAGGGTCCGCAAAGAGGGAGCTATTGGAGTGGGTCCCGCACCACCCAACCTGTCCCTTTGGCCCAGCCGAGGTCACTCTCCCCAGCACAGTGGACCCCCCCCATACTTAACCTCGACTGACGCCCCCCACCCCCCCCCATCCAAGGGGAGCTGCAGCCGGGCCTGCCAAAGTTGTGGCGTGGCGGTCACGAACTCTCAGATGCACGACGCACGCAACGGCGAGGCAGCGGAGCGAGAATGGCTGCGGCGCTCACCGTGGCCGCGTGCGAGCGGGGGCCGCGGGCGGCGCGCGCCCGCCGTGCCGTCTCCGCCGCGGCACCGCCGAGGCTCGGGGGAGGGCGGAGGGCCGCTCGGCGACTCGCGCTCCGATCGCCCGCGGGGTCCGGCGAGCGACGGCCAGGCCCAGGCATGAGAGGCGGAGCCGGGCGACCTGCGGACGCAGCGGAGGGCATCGGCGGTCACCGCGCGTCGACGAGGAGGACGACGAGGAGGAGGAGGGGAAGCGTCGGCGAGTGCTGGAGCGTGCCGTGGGCCCGGTGGGTGGCTCGCTGCCCCGTCACCCCGCCGGTGCTTCCTCACACGGAGAGAGGCGCCGACTGGCGCGGAGAGCCGTAGACTCGCTCGCGCTGCCCACCGTGGTGAAGTATGGACGAACAACGCCCCGTGGCAGAGAACGGCGAGATCACTTTCATCCGGCAGTGGATTGACATGGGGCTGTGAGTGATTGCAGATAGCCTCTAGACACGCTCATTGTGCAGCGGCTACGCCTTCAGTTGACTCTTCACATCTGCTCCGCTCAAGTGGAGCGGATGAGATGTTTAACCTGGATGCGGAGTGACGGGTAATGGTACGCTTCATAATCATATACGTACCACGCACACATCCACGCAAAGTGAGCGCCTATGAAAGACAATATGGCACACGATGGGGTGGGTAGCCAGCATCACGCCCGACCGCCTTTGTCTCCCCATTGCTGATATTTTCAAACTGCACCAGGTATTTCTTCCTGCCTCAGCAGTCCGCCTGCTGTATTTTTTCACCTGAAGACCATTGCTGGTGTTGCGATCGAAACGTCGTGATTTTTCATTATTTGATTATTTTTATATCGACGTGACTTTCCAAAAGATCCAAAGAGTATGCACCAGGTAGTAATTTAAGGTTGAGTCGTCCTAGAGAAAGCCCACAACTGGCCCAGATAATCGTCACCAATGTTGGCTGTGAGAGGGAATCGAACTTGGGTCGCCGGGTTCGGAGTGCAGCGCGCTAACCGTTACACTACCGCACGCACAGCAGAGCAGCACACAGCCACGGACAGGGTTTAGTGGCCGGCGCGTGAGTTGTCTTGGTCAACTCAGCCATAAATGAGTACCTGGTGCGGTACGTGTTCAACAACAGCACCGGGGAGACAAAGGCGGCCGGACGTGGTGCTGTATTTGTGTGTGTGTGTAAATGCAGCCTTAGCTACACATGCACACACGTTGAAATATGCTAACGGGTAGGTGCGTATCCCGAAACGTCGAGTCTATATAACCCTCTGTCGTCTATGCAGATAAGATTTGCATTTGTATCTCAGTACAGGACTGTAACACAGTCTTCGTCATCATCATCATTAGCAATGATCAATCCACTGCTAGATGAAGGCCTTGCCATTGCCACCCCGATGCAACGAATCCACCTCGAGCACCTGCTACATGAGACGATTTCATCGCTCCGTCTCCATGGTGGTGGTGTGGGGAGGTGCTCACTAGGACGAGTTCCATCCCCCTGCACCACGTTCACATCCCTTACGGTGCATTGTTATGATATCAGTTCAAGCGCTTCGGTGGCGCCTGCGATGCAATTGACATGCAAATGAATTAACATCCAAATCCACGTACAAATGAATTCACATACAAATGAATTCACATACCAATGCATTTACATGAAAATTCACATACAAATGCATTAATATACAAATTCACATACAAATGAATTTACATATAAATTCACGTATAAATGAATTCACACACAAATTAACATACTAATGCATTCACATGCAAATGGACATACAAATGAATTCACATCCTAATGCACGCGGGCATCAGGAATGCGGTACAACGCTGTGGCGCCTGCAATGGCATGCAATTGCATTGAGTACACCTCCCGCACAGACTGAACGCAATTGCGATACGTAGTCAAGCTCGGAGTAAATGCAATGCCCAACAATGAATATAGAGAAATGTATCTCGTATAGAAACGCAAGGGCGACGACGACACATGTTAAACCTGTAACACCATCAGTCACGATCGATCCACTGCTGGATGAAGGCCTCCCCTCTCTCCAAGTGGTCGCCATCTCACGGTTCTGCGATGGAACATTTCGACCGAGCAAGGACCTGGACACCTGCGACAATAGAGCTTCATGGCTCGTCGGATTCTTCCGGTAAAAATAAAAACAACCTCACTCTGACCTGGATGGTCGCCGATTTCATGGCTCCATCTCCCGCTCGGCCGAAAAAACCTCTCTCTCAACGCGTTCCCTGCCTGTAGGCTCCCCAATTCAGGGAATACGTGCGTAAATGCAATAACGCCGATTAATCCTGCACATTCAATCCACCGTTTTACACGATTGCAATAGCACTAGCTACGTGTCGGCAGTGTGTGTGTGTAACGCGATGTGCTCGCGGGTGACGTGTACTCACACAGGGCCGGATTCGCGTGCTGCAGAAACGTCTTGAAGCACCGTCGTCATTAACGTCGTCATTAACATCGTCATTAACATCATCACCGCCATCGTAGCGATATACCTCCGTTGTCGGTGTTGCGACAGGGTCATTGTTTGACGATGGACGACCCCATCGGAGTAAGAAGATCAGACCAACGATTCGCACCGATTCTCTCTCGCAGAAGCAAGCGAAATATCAGCTCTCATTTTAAATAAGAGAGAGAGAGAGAGAATACACCTCTAACAGACTACTGGAACACGTGGGTTGCTGTTGTTAGCGAGCTCCTATTAATGTCCGAACGGCGTAACAAGGACATGGTGTGGTCAGCACCAGATGCTAATTTAAATACGAGTAGACCTGTAGGAGATGGTCCAAGACCGCTTCCGATATTTGCCACCGATGTAATCCGAGGCCGGGAATGGAACCCAGGCGGCCGGGTTGGTAGCACAGTGCGCTAATCAACGACTCCGCTCCCGCTCGTCACACTAGAGTACCTATTATACCGCGGTATATATACACACACACACGTTTAGTCCGCGTATAATGAGATAAATATTACCCAGCAGCGGGTACGGCGAGCGTGTGTTCCTTGAGATGCCGGGTTTAAGCGTCTTGGGATGAGAGGAAACGTGCGTGAGCAGAGCGCCCGCGTGGGTGTGAAGACACGCGCCTCTCTCCGCCTGCGTCCCCGTCTCCGCCTCGTCTCGCCGTGTCCCCGCGTGCCTGCGCGCCGTCTCCGTGGGGAGCCTGCTCCGCAGAGAGAGAGATGTCGACAGAGAGCGCGAGGAGGGCTCCTTCCCGTGCCTGCACGGAGCCCGGAGCGCTCCTCCAACCGGAACACGCTCAGGCAGGGATGAGGAAGCGTGGGGAGGGATGAGAGGGATGGATGGGAGTGGTGGTGGGGGGGCGATAGAGGGATGGGGGGAGGGAGTGAGACAAGACTGCCACCACGTGCGCATGCTCAGCGGGTATTGGCAGCATCCTCCCTCCACCTCCTCCACCCCGCCCCGCACCCCAACTCCTCTCCACCACGTGCGCTCTCATTCTGCAGAGAGCCGGGAGGAAGGCAGGAACGAGGGATGCGAGGGAGGGGAAGATGAAGGGGAGGCGCCGTGCCATCAGCCCGAGCTCACAATCTTGTCTGTCGCAGCAGTGAAGGAATGAACGAAGCCGCCCTATTTTGCAGGCCCACCTGCCTGGCCGTGTGTGTGTGTTCGATGTGTGTGTGTGTGTGCTCGGTGTGTGTGTGTTGATGGATGGCTGTTGAATTAAATGTCGAAACATTCGCTTCGTACACAAATGCATAATTTAACAACATTGCCGCGAGTAAGATATTGCACGCTGCGTATTCGAACCTCGACTCTAAACCAACGGGCAATCGCAAACATCGGTACATTGGCTAAAATGCACTGCAGTTCCGGGCAAATTGCACCATCATCATTGCTGTTGGTTGGAGCGGTCGCGCTCTGAACTATGAACCCGGCTACCTGATGTCGATTGCCTGCCGTGGGTAACATCAGAGGCGAGTGATATCTGAATCGGTCCTGTGGCCCCGTCCTCCCCCCTCCCGGGCCCCATCCCCCCTGCTTCCCATCCCTTTTCACTGACCCGCACTGACCAGCAGCCTGCTTAAGCACAAGTTAAACACCCGATACGGCGCGGCAAGGCTTTCAGCCACGCAGCAGTGGATTATTAACAAAGGGCTGTCAACGATCACTGCTGCCGCTATAATTTACAAGGCCGTGAACGCTGTGGCACATGATCGCTTAAACCCACAGTTGAAGCCAACAGAGCGCTCTGCGTGAGTAGTGCGCCTTAATCCGGCTCTGCTGGCGGGCAAAGCCCCAATCAATGCTCAGCGTCAGATATAATGTGAAGCCACCCTCCCCTTCCTCTCACCCATATTTTGAGAGCAACAATGAATTAATTCCGGGTGCTGGAGGGAATGATGTTAAAAGGATCTCTGTTGTGCGCGAGTCCTCTTCCCGGAGGAAAAAAAAGACCCAGGGTCCCTCTATGCATTTTGCTACATCGTCTCATTCATCGCAGGCCGACATTGTTGACTGCCAGCTCCATTGGGATGTAAATTAGTCGAGCCCGTGGGTTGCCCAATCTCCCCCCTCTCTCTCACACACACACCGCAACCCACGCATCTCTCTACTCCACACGGCTCGCTCCTCCTCCTCCTCTTACATCCATCCGCCACTCCACCGCCAAGCTGTAATCTTGTAGTTAGCTTCCCATGAAACATGTTTTGATTTAGTCCAGCATTCGGATCAAGGGGTACACTTCATCTGCTGCCTGCCCGGGGTGCAAGTGCAAGTATCGCACTCAGCAAATGCCTCCTCCCCTCTCCCCCACATTATTTCAATCATAATTAATTCGACTTGAATAAAAAAGAATGCATAGAAAAAAAAATCATGCATACGCATAGATTACGTAAAGATTTCCGACATGCGTTTGTCTTCGGAGGTATTTAATTGTAATTATGGAAGCAGAGATGCGAGCTGTCAGGGCAAAACGACATCTCCTGTTGGGCGAACCTTTGCTGTCCGGCATACCCACAGAACTTCAGACTACGATCTAGTTCATATCGGATCACAACTTAATCTATGACGTGGTTCATATCCGACCACAACTTTATACTACGATCCGGTTCATGTCGGATGATCTTTACGCGAGTTATAACGCTCCCTTCCCTCCCTCCGCTTCCCTCCACTCCCTCCGCTCCCTCCCTCCCTGTATGGAGGGACAGAGCTCACTGTACGAACGTCTTCGCCGACACTCGGAACGCGTAAAAAAATGAGGGTTGTTAAACTGGTAACCGGTATAATAATAGGGGTTTTCCCCTTTTTTTCTGGCAACAAAACTGAAACCTTTCTACAAGGAATCATGTGTGCATTAACCACAATACTTGTGGTAAAAATGCAAACAAAAAACATACTCTGATAACGTGTTTTTTTTGTTTGCATTTTGACCACAAGTATTGTGGTTAATGTACACATGATTCCTTGTAAAAAGGTTTCATTTTTGTTGCCAGAAAAAAGGGGAAAAACCCTATTATTATACTTTGGTACTGGCAACGGAGGTCTAATGATGGTAACCGGTAACCGTTTTGAGAACCTATCGCCAGTTTCATAAACCGATAACCGTTAGTTTCCGGTGTGATTGTATCCGGAAGAGGTGGACTTACCCACACTTCCCCCCACCGAATGTGACTGCTCAGAGAACAAAAGCGAGAAACGGGGAGAGTAGTTAATTTATTGTATCCGGTTTCTTCCCATGGCTAGATAAAAACAATGTAACTGGTTTTGGTTTAAATATCCCAAATGATGAACAATGGATAATTATTACCTGCAAAGTTACCCGATGGGGATTACACACACAGCAGCAGCAACATTGCTCCCTTCCTGCATAGAATTGGCAGGACCCTTCTGAAAGAGTCTTGGGACTCAGTAAAGCGTCCCTGGGTAAACAAGGCGGAATACAACGCGATGATAATAATATAACCAGATAGGCGCAACTCCGTTTAGCACGGTTGGCTACGTACGGTGCGAATGAAGTCCACCATAGACAGGCATTCGTCGTATTGGTTACGGAATGCCTTGGCTCTTCAAGCCGCCTTCCAAGTTGCCAAACGCGCGTGGAGCACGTTTGGAAAATTCCTTTGAGAGGCCGGGATCCACCACGGGTCATTTTAACGCGAATTAAACATTTTGTTGTTTCAGCGGACGCGCTTGAACACCACACGATGAGGCCCCGGTGGCAACATTTGTTGGGTCCACGGAATGAACGAGTGGCGGCGCTTCCTTCCGGATAATCAAAGCGGTGCGTTCGCTTCACGGGCACGTGGGTCTGCAGACTGATCTGTCATACGACTGCAGGGGTTCACAGAGCACTCTCTTTCAAAACAGGACCGACTGACTCTCTCCTCTGCCACTCTCGGCTCTTGCGCCCGATGCTGGAACGGTGTCGGGGCCTCTCTCGAGCGTTGCCCCAAGGATTTGAAACTCCTCGCCGCCGGTGATCCGTCACGCTACGAGCCTCGCTGTTGTTTAGGAGGGAGTTGCAAGACTCACGATTTGTTTTCTCATGGCTAAAACATGATTTCGTTGTCTTTTAATGTTATTTTAGTGTACAATGTTTTGATTACACCCCCCAGCCTTTGAGTGGAGGTGATGTTGCGCTCATTATAAACGCGGTTTAGGGATTCATCTGTTGCTGAAAATAATCTCTCAAAATGTCTCGGAGGGACACGGGCGGTAGGAGGCAACTATTAATGGGAGTCGGATTTTACTGCCTCAGTCACTGAAGGCAACGCCAGCACCCCCCCAGTCTCTGAGACCTCGGTGATTTAAAAATAAAATTAACCACCTCAAGCCCCCAACGAGCTCACCCCAGCCCAAACCGAGACACACAAGCGGCCTACACAACCCCACAGTGTCTGATTGAGGTGGCTGGCGAACTTATAGCCTTCGAGACCCTTAGGAATAGGTCGCGCGTGAAAGAAAAAAAAACCGTATTGGCAATTTCATTCCGAGAGGACAAGGGGTCCCACAGCAATGCGCTCTACTAAATGTCCCCGATTAGTGGAATGAACGCGGTAGGCGAGGCAAATACTCCGTCCGTCTCGATCCCAGCGGGTGAACGAGTGCTGGAGACGCGACGCTTCAGTCTCCGACCAATTAATCTCGAGGCAAGCGGGACACGAATCTCACTGCGAACTGAAAGACGCTCGACATTAGAGGGACGGAAATCATTGATTGGGTTAAGCACGGCAGGTGGCACAACGCGTACCGTGGTACAAGAGGGGTGTCATGAACACTCGCCCTAGACGGGGGTACGAGAGGGGTGTCATGAACACTCCCCCTAGACGGGGTATGAGAGGGGTGTCATGAACACTCCCCCGAGACGGGGTACAAGAGGGGTGTCATGAACACTCGCCCTAGACGGGGGTACGAGAGTGGTGTCATGAACACTCCCCCTAGACGGGGTATGAGAGGGGTGTCATGAACACTCCCCTTAGACGGGGTACGAGAGGGGTGTCATGAACACTCCCTCGGCCAGGAAATCATTACCGTGGCCCGAGACTCGGCAGTGCGTGGTAAGGAACAATTCGCTGTGCTGGATCTCATACAAAGATCCACCGTGTAGCCTTAACACTGTTGTTGGGGCAAGTGCTGTCCATCGAGTATGAAGGCCGGCACGGCACACGAGGGGGTGTGATGGGAAGGTAACACTGCTCAGCAGGGCTTTAACGATTCAATGAGCTGTCACGACCTTCGACTTCTCGTGTCCTGCCACCACGATTATTGTTTGTCAAGTATCCAGCACATGAGGATATGGCCGGCAGTGGACAGACTGCCGCCTAGGAGTAGAACCAGCAGTTGTCACAATTGCAGGTAACACTGCAGGAAGTGCAGCGGTCGATCGTGGTTGGAGGAGTCACGTGAACCCCGATTGTATGTGACATACGAGTCGAAAGTCATTCTTAAGCGATTCGATGCATGTAGAAAATTAGATATTAATAGACGAATCTATTGCATCGTTACATCCCGACCGCAAAAAAAAAAACGGACCAAAATAATAAAGCGGGATTAAGAGTTACACCAGGGCTTGTGCATCTTCAGATGTAGGTGCAGTGTTGTGATGGCCAGCGAACGCAATGCCCCTTACGGTGGGCGCCATCTGGCTCGCAGTGATTTGAGTTGAACGGTTCGTTATGAAGAATGATCATCACGGCCAGCATCCAACTGGCCGCCCCGTGCGGGCAGGTTCGTCAGGTGACATCACCGCAAATGGTGCCGCTTTCTGCGAGAATATACCTTCCCTCTCAATAGCACACGTGCGAGACACACTTAAAGGGAACACGGAGCAAACCGGCCTGTAGCACACCACGCGGTACGGCTGGCGTGCAGTACCACAACAATTCAGTGGCCATTCATACGTTCTGAAGGGGCAGTGGAGGAGTCTTGGGAAGATCATCGCCTGTTGACAAGCCCCCGAGCCAGTGGTGGTAAGTCGACATTCCAATGTTTAGGGCGAGCTACTTCCCTAAGACGACTGCGGGCGTTCACACAAATATGGTACTCATTTTTAATTATATTGACACCCCCTAAAGGGATGATTAAAACCCCACCAGGGGATTTGTGAACGCTATCCGTTGTATCACCACCAGACCAGGCCACATTTAGCACACGACTACCAAGTTATACAAAATGTAACCAACCACTCCAAGTCTCCTCGGAAACATTTGTGCTGTGTGAATGACCCCCCCCCCCCCTCCAAAGCAACAGTTTCAGATGCTACAGAATCTTAAAAAAACAGCGCTTTAAAAAGACCTCACATTCAACCCTTTGATGCAAGCACCTGGGGGTTAACCTGATGGTAACACTCGTGCCAGATGCTGTAGTTAATTGGGGGGGGGAGGGGGGCACTGCCTGTTCTCCCACATGTACAGGACATCCTTGGCTGAAAAGGTTTGGATCAAAATCAATCACGATTCGTGCCATCCACAGTGAGCACCACTTACAGCCACGCGCCAAGTTTAATGAAACACGGAACCAGCCAAGTGTGTCCTGTATCATTCCGGATAATGGGGAAAAAAACGCTCCCGAGCAACTGTTCCGGCTCTCCAGTTATTATCATCTTACACGCGAAACGAACAAAACGCATACGATTAAAGGCTTGCGATGCAGTAACTTGGGAATCATTTATTAAAATAAAAAAAACAACCACGCCACACATACGGTCATGAAAGATGTTACCAATGAATTCAACCATCAGCTTGAGTGGTTGCCTGGCCACTATTCCAATTTACAATTAATAAAAAAAAATTACACACGTCACTTTTTTCTTTTTGGGTGGAGCTCAAACGGTGCGTCCAAGCGAAGTCACAGACCAGAGGAGCAGGCTTCACAGTGATTGGGATGCTCCAGCGTGTTAAGTCGGAACTGGCTCTGTTTTTTCACTGGCCATGCAAACAGGGGTCTATGGGGCCAGTTCAGAGGCTGTATTTTGTCTTCAAAGCAGTCACACTTGCGCCACTGATGTCCTCCGCTGACGCAATGTGATCAAATAACGCTCGGGCGACTGAAGAGAGGAAAACAAAAAGAATTAGATCGTTGGTATTAATAAAACAACTGTAATGCACACACACACACACAAAACCGTTAAAAGAAGTGGTCAGTGACTGCCTTGCTTAGGACATTAGGATACTGCCCTCTTGAATTCCATTTGCTGATAATTCCTATCAATCATGGAGCTGTGGGACACATCGTAATGCTCTTGTATGCCATCAATGTCTCGTTACTTTGAGTCACATTTGTGAGGAAGATACAACAGAACAACATGAGGCAAATAATGCATTAATGATCGAGTGTTAGTATGCCTGGCATAGCTAACACATTAAACTGTGTGTGTGCGCGTGTGCAATGTTAACGATGTTACCGCATTGTCACACTTGACAAAAAAACGGTAGTGGGACAAATTCCTCAATTACCTCAGTGGGCATCTGGCGTGCAAAATTCGCTAATCTCTTATTCACACGAAGCTCCATTAAGCGCTTTGGGCTGGCACCAGCGCGGGACTGCACTTTGAGGTGTAGCAACTATTATACCATATCGCGAACGGCTTTTGTACAAACACCAACGAATGCCCTTTGCAGGAGGTGAAGCGAGGCCAAAAACGAGCGTTGCATTCCGTTAAAATGCGACTGATGTGAACGCGAAAGTAGCACAAGCGTGCGTTGCCAAGCGGCGAGCTTCCTCCCACTTGAGAGCGCCTTTTTTCGTATCCGGTCGGAACAACTAAACTCCCAAAACACAATTTGTCGAGCGTCAGACAATCATATAGTTCTGTGCTTGTGTATTTTTTTATGTATAAATATTCCTCGTGTACTTGTGTCCATGGAAACGTAGCAATTGACATTTTACAATGACATGAACATGATGAATTACTGGGCCATTCCAAATAACAAGCCCACCAAGTGTTTGAGGCTCACTCTTACCAAACATTTTGTACAGTCACGTTAAACAGATGTGAAAAATTTGCAATGATGCCTTTATATGCTGTCAGAAAAAATATGCGTGTGCAAGTGTCCCTACAAGTTTGATATTTAGCTCTCACTTGACACCCTGGAAAACGAACAAGAGATGTTACATCGCAAGGGATTATTCACTCAAAATATTTTAGCACGTAAAAAATAAATCAGCGTTTATTACACCTTGCTAAACACTCCACAAGAGTTTTTGCTGCACAAAACAAATTATATTATCACAATAAACAAAACATATACAAGGAATACTCTTTTCACTGTTCCTAATTGTCATAATCAAGATATATTTACGCAGTATCAAGCCCAGCATTTGTGGAACATTGATCTGCAGTGTTTCCAGCTCATAAGCCGGCAAACCCTTTTACCAACCACAATTGGGAGTTGTACACAAAGCACAGCCGCAAACGGCATCGGCGCAATTTCTTTCAGTTCACCCCTGTACGCAGCGGCGAAGATGTACGACGGCTCGTGCAGAGCACGGCAAATTACAGCGACATCACTCCCTTATCTTGAGAGGGTTGCTGACGCCTCGTCTCCTCCCCGGGGCCACATTTAGAAGACCGAACCCTCGACACGTACAGACGGACGCGGCTCTCAGAGGGCACGCCGTGCGACGCTGCCAGTGTGACGACGAGTGCCCGTGCCAAGGCACGCTTGTCGCACCGACCACTTTGCTCGCAGCCACTCTTTCGCCCTCTACTTTGCGCGTAATCCTCGCAGGCTGCACCGCTTGATTCAACTTTCCAGGCAGAAATCGCTCGACCTTCTGGCTGTCGGTGAGGATTAAAGTAATGTGTGGCCCCAGCGCCTTAAGCCCATGCAGAGTGGAAAAATGTTTTGAGGGTTTTCTATTTCCCCCCCCAGCCACCCCCAAACGTTATCCTCATTGAGCTATCTGCGTCACTACATGCGATGGAGCTCTCGCACAGCAGTGCAACAGTTTGTGTTAGAGAATGAATCACAGAAATCACGTTGCAACCTCCTATAGCCCTTCAAGGCATCTCTGAAAACACTGTAGGGGACAGCACTCTCCCGCCCGCTCTGTATTGAGGGGAATGTTTGTTCGGTGACAGTCAAATTGGTATTTTTAATACTCAGATCTTTAACTTCGGCAAATTCAGTGCGAAACTAAATGCAATGCGATGGCTTTTGGGCAGTCATTGGTGACTGGGCTGACACCATTAACTCACTACACTTCAGAACCCGTTTTTATCGTAGGCGCCTGAAACCTGGATTTTAATCCAGGATCTCGGTGGTGAAGGCTCAGCCACCTAGCCACCTCCACGTGTCTAATTATTGGTGCTTAATAGCAGCTGAAAGCAGACTAATACTCGAACTAGATAATGTGAGTAAACATACTAATGTACTGAAGGAAGCAGGTTTTTAAATCAGTGCATATAACCCACGATGAGATATGGCTCAGCAACATATAACCCACGATGAGATATGGCTCAGCAACATATAACCCACGATGAGATATGGCTCAGCAACATATAACCCACGATGAGATATGGCTCAGCAACATGCGAGAATGACAAACAGAAAATGCAACAAAAACTGACAGCTATGGAAAAAACACGTGTTTGGAATTATATTAAGAAACAGAAAGAGGAACACGTGCATCAGGGAGCACATGTAAGTTAGACTGGGCTTGGACAGGATACATCGCTTGAAGGGATGATACCCGGTGAGTGAGACAAACGTTGGAGTAGCAGCCAAAGGAGGGAACACGTCTGGGAGGACATCTACCAAAGATAGGGCAACGAGATCAGCTTAAGCGCTGGAGCGACATAAGGAATGGCAACGGCTTGGAGAGGCCTTCATTCAGCAGTTGATAGACCATGGCTGCTAATGACGAATAAACATCGGCCTACGCCTATCCAAATAATGCACATTTAATAAATTATGAAATGTTATTGATTAATAAACATCGGCCTGCACTTATCATCCCAAAACATAAAACGAAAGTTCCTTTGAATCAAGGTTCAGCCACCAGCACCATGCCGAGCAGGAAAAACAAAGACTTAGTCATACCTCCAAGCCTCAAAAACATCGGCGATCAATAATAAGTGGAGGAGAAAAGGTCAGCTATGAGCAAGGTATTAAAGAGAGGGAGAGAAACGGCCGTGTGACTGCTTGCAGAACAAGGCAGTGGAGGATGAATGAACCTGCTTCCCCAATAAGCGATGCATGCGAGGGACACCACCACTCACCGGCCTTCTCTGTTGTGGACATGAACATGACAGCCATGTCAAAGCGACGCACGAGTGAGAGGTTGTGCAGCACCGCGAAGATGAGCGCTTTGTCTTCGTGTCTGCAAGACCACGTGAACAACGCAAAACCAGGCTCCCGCCAGCACCCCCACTCAACACGGCAACACCAAAGCAACGCGGAGTCCTATCCTCCTGAGAGGTGGCTAGCCGTACATGTGGCAAAAATGTCACTGTCCTTTGTGAAAATATACCTTATCCATCCCACATATCTGCAATAAATTTTACCAGGAAATCTTTTAACTACAATGCGTGAAGGCATCGAGAGCAACATGCCTGTAATAAGATTTAAAAAAGTAAAACATTTAACGCCCTTTAAAATATCTGCAATGATGCGTTTCTCTGAGAAAATATCAGGAGGCAATGAATATATATCACACAACGATTAAATGATGCGCATTTCTCTGCCGTATATTTTTTATACACAGCGCTGGTATAGCGCTTTGTGGTAAAACTATTCAACTTTAGATTGTGCACTGCCGTCTCTAAGACTTATAATTCAAGACTCTGGTTCTAGAAATGGAATTAAGATGTGCCAGGGTATTCACGTACTTCTCAAATCCTCCCTTGACAACCGATCCCAGCCTCTGGTAGCGTCATGAGAATGAATGAATTATGCAAATTATGGCATTTAATTTCACAGGCTATGCTAAACTCATTTCATACTCTGCTCATTTCCTCCCTCATAAACATTAATGAGTGAAAATGACTTACATTTTCCAAAACAGTCGACACAAACAAGCAATGGGTGAGAGTGCTAAATCATTTTTCTTGGCAAACAATTCAGATCGAGTTGCTCATATCTGTTAACCCCTTATCAGTGCCTACCTTATTACAGACCAATTCAGACCTTATTGGTCACCCCGTGTCCTTATAAATCCCAAGAGAGAAACACAAATAAACACATTTTTTTGCCCATATTGAAATGGCTGTACGCTGTATGGCCCTGAAAACTCAATTTCCCTGTACAAGGGTATGGGTAAAACCGAATGGGTTGACAGGTATTAGTTGATGTCGTATCCTTTCGCGACAACAGAGCAAAAAGGTTTTGTCGGTGTTATTACACAGCACAATTTAGCCTCTCAGGTAGCAAATAAATAATACTGAACGCAGGCGAGCCGGAAATGATATTTATTACGTACCTGCAGACAAGAATTCCCCAAATCAATAATCGCTGCGAGTATTGCGTAGACGCGACATGCAGCCACCAGGCAAAAGAGTGAACTTTGTGAAAAGTGAAATTTTCCAAGACTGCATGGCAGAATCAGAAATGTCTGCCCACCCCCCATGCCGTGGCACTCACGGGGGTTTGTTGGAACATACTTCACCGCGCCGGTCAATGTGGGTTGGCAAACGTGGTTGGGGGGGCGGGGTGGGTAGGCCCACGACCAATTAACATATCACTCTATCATCATCATCATCAGCTAAGGTGAATCTACTGCTGGATAAAGGCCTTCTCAAGCTGCTGCCTGTAATTCGCAGGATCCAGCCATGTAACTGACACTCTTTGGTCTGCAAGAATTAGCTTGTACATGCACAACAGAAAAAAACCCAAACACAGAAATAATTTTTAATTACATGTGGGCACAAACTGAACCTGGCAGGTCAATGCGAAGAACCCACTGAACCGAGGGATTGTGTGGTAGATGAAGGAAAACAGGTAAATATACTCACGGGATGTAGGACTCCTTGAGCACGTTGAGCAGCTTGTACAATACATCTGGCTCCAGAGGCTGCTGCATTATTTGGGGAAATGCGATCGGCGCTATTTGCTGCAAGGACGCGCGCACACACAAGAAAGGTATGCACCGGTTAATGCACCATCCATAGTCTCGTAACAGATGAGAGAAGGTGAACCAACGTCGTAGGCGTTTACATTTTTACGGGGAGGAGAGTAACCGACGTTTGAGATAAATACGCAACATGGCTCACTCAGCCTGAACGCATCGCTTTACCACTGAGAACAAGGAGGCTGGAGGGACACGCTTGATACGTCTCTTGGTGGCTGAAGCCAACAGAGATAATTGTGTTGTATATTCGCATGCTTGGGCACTGCACCTTGATATATTGGTAAAGGAGGTTCGGACGTCCCTTAAGTTGACGCAGGTCGGACTCCAGCTGGAAGGAGTTGGACGGGGGCGGAGGCACGGACACAGTCTGGGCTAGGTCAGAGGTCATCGGCGTGCCCTTCTGTGTATTTGGCAGTCTCTGCTGTGTCCTCCCCTCGTCTCTTGCTGCCACCGACCTGTGAACAGACAATGGCAGCGTTGGTTCTTAAGTGCTGGAGGGTAATATGCACCCCTTTCAACACACAAGGTAATGCACGAGCACATATTGTACACTTTAGTGCTTTCATGAATATACACAAACACAAAAGCTATTCCACACATAGTCTTTAAAATAATTGTATCACAGGTTGCAAATTACAGTAAAAAGAAGAAAAGTGTACATTCTCACATGCATTTGGATGCCATGTCATTTTTGGATGTTTCTTAAAATAGTTTTGTATCCTTGGAGCAGAAAAAACACTGCTCTGCACAAACTTGTTGGTTAAAAACACAAAATGAACATCGATTAAATTACAACGAAGTACAATTACCCATCTTTTTCCACGTTAAGACACGTGGAGGAAGATGCTAAAGATTTGCTCTGTAAACACGAGCACGTGATGCTTTGACAAGACGTTATCTCCCTCGCCTGGTACGCAGGTCGTGGGTACGGTCCCGACCTCGATGCCTGTATAATTGGAGTTTGCATGTTCTCCCCATGGTCACGTTGAATTTTTCTACAGTTTTTCCCTGCACATTTAGAAACGTGTTTATTGTATTTAGCTGCTATAAATTTCCACGTAATAAGCCACTTCGTTGAGCTGTCAACGAAGTGGCTTGTAACTCTCGTGCAAAAGAGCTACATAGCTCAGTGGGCCTTACCTGGTAAAATAAAAAAGTTTAGTTGGAGTTTAGTTTATGTGCCACGATCACGCAGAGCGGTTGATTAGGCCGGACACACGTGCCTCCACTTACAAGATCACACCAGGCTGCTCGCTGCCCGTCACTCTCCGATTGCCATGACGCCGTGTGTCCCCCTCATCTCCAACAACAGCTCCACCGGTCGCCTCCGCTTCCTCCCCGTCTGCCACCTTCACGGACGCCTGAACCTTTTTTTCCTCCTTCCCACAGTCTCGCACGCCCGCCGACGATGGCTGCGGCTGCGCAGCTGGTGGTGGTGGCTGTGGCGGTAATGGTGGTGTGTGAACGCCTTCTGCGTTTAAGCCAGTCCCCTCCACGCTTTGTACCATTTTTGGCTGCATGTCACTCCCAACTTCCTCGATCGTCATCCTCCGCAGCGGTTTCTGCGCAGAAGTATGAGCGTAAAGGCATTTCTCTTCAGTGTAAATAAAATACAATTAAATATCGGTCCAAGTTGAATTTTACAGACCATTTTGTTTGTTTGTAAATTGTTAATCTGCCACTGGATGGGGGCCTCCCTAAGCAGTGTGGGTCACTGAGATCACTTGACCATACTTCGCTGTGCTGGTATGAACGGGTTGGTGAAGGCGGGGAGCATAGATGCGGGAGCATAGCAGAGTACAATACATTCTTCTGCACTGTCCTATTTATTACATCGCAGATTCATGAGATGGCAATGGCTGGGGGAAGCCTTCATCCAGCAGTAGGCGACGCTATAGAAAACACATCAGCAGTCACCATTCACAAACCTTGCCAGCCACTGCACGCATTGCTAATGCCTTATTTTGTGTTCACATAAATTATAGGGATCGGAAATAAGCCAACATGGGCCACAAGGGATGACACACAATTGTTTGGCATCAGCAAAGGCAGTGAATCACGTAAAGAGGAAGGGGTAATCAGTAAATACTGCTAATTCATTTGGTCAATGAGTTCAGAGAGAAGGATGTATTATTTTGCAGAATATCTTTTCACATGGTGTGCCTTACTCAGCCATTTACATTCATCTCCTGAAATGAATGTAAATGTGCTTCATTAAGGCGCAGGGGAATGTGGGATAAAATGTTCTTTAAAATTTAAAGTGCCAAGCAGCCCAGTTGGACAGGTCATTCCAGACAGCACACAATCTATAATGAATACATCACAGCCAAAAAGCCAGTTGGCTAATTCAGTCGAATCTAATTTGTTTTTATTAAAAGCACACAACTAAGTTATTAACAAGATCTGAAAAACACAAATTGAGCTCTAAGATGAGATGACCTGTGTTCCAGACAATGGCGTATATGCTGCTTTAGTACAAGATGTACTCAAAATGTGAGCAATAATTTTATGGGTCTGATTCATGATGTAAAAATAATCACATTTTAGTCCATCAGCCTATAGACATTCTGAATGGATGTTTGTTTTAGTAGGTAAACACTTAAAAAAATCATTTCCAAGTTTCATCAGCAGTGTTGCCAGTTAAACAGATGCTGCTGGGTTGGCTGATGGTGCAGACTTTAGCATTTATAAACACCAAGGGACCCATTCAATCAAGGACAACAACGATGCACATTTTTATGATGTACTCCCATGGCGAGAATATCTAATGGTACAAACATTGATTTATTAAGTATTACAGGATTGACAGTATAAGCTGGTTATAAGCACAACCCTTCGGAGCAATGCCCACTATACAGTGAGGGAAAAAAAGTATTTGATCCCCTGCTGATTTTGTACGTTTGCCCACTGACAAAGAAAGGATCAGTCTATAATTTTAATGGTAGGTTTATTTGAACAGTGAGAGACAGAATAACAACAAAAAAATCCAGAAAAACGCATGTCAAAAATGTAAATTGATTTGCATTTTAATGAGAGAAATAAGTATTTGACGCCTCTGCAAAAGATGACTTAGTACTTGGTGGCAAAACCCTTGTTGGCAATCACAGAGGTCAGACGTTTCTTGTAGTTGGCCACCAGGTTTGCACACATCTCAAGAGGGATTTTGTCCCACTCCTCTTTGCAAGTCATTAAGGTTTCGAGGCTGACGTTTGGCAACGCGAACCTTCAGCTCCCTCCACAGATTTTCTATGGGATTAAGGTCTGAAGACTGGCTAGGCCACTCCAGGACCTTAATGTGCTTCTTCTTGAGCCACTTCTTTGTTGCCTTGGCCATGTGTTTTGGGTCATTATCATGCTGGAATACCCATCCACGACCCATTTTCAATGCCCTGGCTGAGGGAAGGAGGTTCTCACCCAAGATTTGACGGTACATGGCCCCGTCCATCGTCCCTTTGATGCGGTGAAGTTGTCCTGTCCCCTTAGCAGAAAAACACCCCCAAAGCATGTTTCCACCTCCATGTTTGACGGTGGGGATGGTGTTCTTGGGGTCATAGGCAGCATTCCTCCTCCTCCAAACACGGCGAGTTGAGTTGATGCCAAAGAGCTCCATTTTGGTCTCATCTGACAACAACACTTTCACCCAGTTGTCCTCTGAATCATTCAGATGTTCATTGGCAAACTTCAGACGGGCATGTATATGTGCTTTCTTGAGCAGGGGGACTCCGGGCGCTGCAGGATTTCAGTCCTTCATGGCGTAGTGTGTTACCAATTGTTTTCTTGGTGACTATGGTCCCAGCTGCCTTGAGATCATTGACAAGATCCTCCCGTGTAGTTATGGGCTGATTCATCACCGTTCTCATGATCATTGCAACTCCACGAGGTGAGATCTTGCATGGAGCCCCAGGACGAAGGAGATTGACAGTTCTTTTGTGTTTCTTCCACATGTTGTCACCTTCTCACCAAGCTGCTTGGCAATGGTCTTGTAGCCCATTCCAGCCTTGTGTAGGTCTAAAATCTTGTCCATGACATCCTTGGAGAGCTCCTTGGTCTTGGCCATGGTGGAGAGTTTGGAATCTGATTGATTGATTGCTTCTGTGGACAGGTGTCTTTTATACAGGTAACAAGCTGAGATTAGGAGCACTCCCTTTAAGAGTGTGCTCCTAATCTCAGCTCGTTACCTGTATAAAAGACACCTGGGAGCCCGAAATCTTTCTACTTGAGAGGGGGTAAAATAGTTATTTCCCTCATTAAAATGCAAATCAATTTATAACATTTTTGACATGCGTTTTTCTGGATTTTTTTGTTGCCATTCTGTCTCTCACTGTTCAAATAAACCCACCATTAAAATTATAGACTGATCATTTCTTTGTCAGTGGGCAAACGTACAAAATCAGCAGGGGATCAAATACGTTTTTCCCTCACTGTATTCTAAGTGTGCTTGTATAAAAAAAAATCCATTTGACTTTCCCCCACCAGTACAATTCAAGGATGTGTTGTTTATATCAAAACTGTGCTTATACAAGATATACTCATATCCAGATTATACTCATAAATTTAAAACAGCGATACTTCATACAACACATTTATTTCTGGTATGATAACAAAGGCTACACAAATGCATTTTGTACAATACAGCTGTCATATCACGAGCTGAAAAATGTCACATACACAGCAAGGACGATTTACAGTCATTGCGTGAAACAGCCTGAAGAACGACCCAATCAAACCCTCCTCCCCACCCCCACTGTGGATAATGAATGCAACATTTATAAACACGCAGCCAGGTCCTGGTTCAACCTTGGAAGATGTCGTCCATATCATCGCCAGGGGGGCGAGGGTGGGGTGTCGGTGAACTGGGGTAAATGGGCTATTTATGCAGTCGAGACTTAAGTATGACTCTGGAACAATTTGCTCTCACTTACTGAGGCTGCTAGCGCCTGCCACTAATATATATTTTTTATAATCTCAGGTAGTCCTCATTCGTTCAATTAAAATAAATTAACTCCACCTAAAATGCTGTATTTCATGGACAATGGAGATTCACACCACCAGATGGAAATATCAACATCAGTTCGTTTCACTGTTGTGAGCGTTTTCAAGAACAGAGCTTTGGGATTGTAGTAAAATATATATCAAAAGCATACCTTGCCTCACAAATAAAATTCAACAAATATAAAATATATTAAAACATTACATATATATCCGATAGCAATGTAGTCAGTTTACATACACCAAATTATGTGTTTTTAAAAGATGGAACCAAAATTTTTAATTCATAAGCTCATCGCTGCCGCTTAGCATGCGACAGGATATTAAGAGGCAATGAGTATCCACTTGTCAGAACATTTGTTCCACCTTTGCGTGAAGAAGGCTGCTTTGCTAATCAAAGCTTTTGAGGTCAATCAGTGGACACAGGGTCAGTTCCACATACTGATCTACATTTCTGTAAATAATCCCAAGTTAAAAGCAAGTCTCACCTTGGACCTCAGATGCGGCTGCCTTGTGAATGGTTGGACGACATTGCTGGGTTCTGTCTCAGCAGCTTCGGGTTTTAGAGTTGTGACTGAAACACTTGTGCTTTCCCTGATCCCCGCCGCGTCTTGTCTTGGCGTTGTGACTGATGTTTGACTTGCGCCAGACTTGGCTGTTTTCTCAATCATCTTCCCTCGTATTGAAATGAAAACAAACCCATGGGAACAAAGGTAAATTAGGCATTTCCACCAATGAAAATGTAGCAGGAATTATGCTGAGAGATAGCTTGCTTAGTTATGCCTATGCCATGAGAGAGAAATTCTTACCACAGAGGTATTCATTGCAGGTAACTTCAATTTATAAACGGCAAAACTCCCAAAATATTTTATCAACACACGGAAAGCTACACCAAATTTAGCAATGAATTCTGTGAAGATTCTTACATTAATGTGCTCAACAATTAAATGGCAATGCTTTGTTTGTATATAAATATAACAAAGTGTAGATTCTGCATATTGCCAATGCTTTTGTCATTTAGAGAGAATGTCAGGGTTACTTACCTCTTTGATTTTCTTCAGTTCTGCAATGGCTTGTTTGTTTACAGGATCAAACGTGAGCACTGCTTCAAAGTCTGTAAAACAATGCCATCACAGTTTGCAAAATAAACCACGTTCGATGTGTAATCACCAAAATTATATCAATTTTCATGAAATTTAAATATCACCAGCAGGATGTTTATGCAAATCGAGCATATGCTCCAAGTGGATTTAACCCCCCTGTTGCGCCTGCTTTCAAGTTAACAGGGGAAAATGTTAATTACTTGTTTTTTTATTTGGTTATTGGCAAATTTTGTCATCAAACAAAGAAAGTGGCTAATTCAATTTCCACTCTGCTGCCATCTGTTGAAAAGAAAATAACCCATCACATGATTAAAGCAATACTGGATTTATATAGCATCTAAGCAATACTGCATCTCGAGATGTTGTATGCAAACAGTGGGAATATGTATTTTATAGAGAGAGCCAGTCATTTATAGACAAATGAAAAAAGGAAGTTCTGAAGTCTGGACAATAAATATAAAAACAATCCTCGTGCTCCTACATCATTGAGCTTTCTGCTTTAAACATTAATCTGCAAGAAATACAACACTTGTGCTGATATGAACTGTTCATTACATAATAACATCATGAGCATAAGGGGTTGGGTGGCTCAGAGGTCAGAGTGCCGAGCCGGCACGACTGAGATCCTGGGTTCACATCCAGGCAGCTGCCCGAGATTGAAATAAGTTCTCAAGTGCAGTGAGATGATGATCTCAGCCCAGTCACCAGTGACTGCATAAAATAACTAATCACATTACGTTTGGTACTGCATTCAACTTGTCTAAATTAATGCTCTGAGAATTAAAAATACCAATTTGACTGACACGTAACAAACATCCCCTCAATACAGAGCGGGTGGGAGTTAAATAGATTGGTTTCACTGTCCTGTGATCAACAATACTTCCGTGGCAGAGTGGATGGGAAAAGGCTGCCCCATACTATGTGGACCAGAGATCATACGAAGCAATCCCAGAGGCAGCTCTGTGATATCTGTTCCTGTGGGTCATTCTCGAACATGAAAGGATATTAATTAACTTTTTATAATGACATGATGCCGATAGCAGAATCTGGATAAAACTGTGGAAAAAGTATGTAAAAAAAGATTAATAAATAAAATACCAAATGCTTAAACATCCGTCTGCAGAGCTACCTTCTCTGGCTTCCTTCAGTTTGTTGAGTGCAAGCCGTGCGGCTCCCCTGCGTGCGAAGGCCTTCGGGTAGGATGGATCCAGCTGGATGGCCAGGTTGCAGTCCGACTCAGCCAGTTCATACCTAGCACAGGGGTTAGGCTGCGATGCACGCTGACAGTAACAGACAGCAGCCATCTCTGCTATAGTTTATATGCGCGCGACTACAAGTGTACATTTGGCAAGGAACAATTCATCGGTTGAAAATTTAATTCCGCTCACGCTACATGCGTGTGAGAAGCCATTATGTTTGACTCATGCAAATTTAATTCAAGTGCTTATCCAGGATTAATGGTCAGAATGAATGAAACATAAGAGACATAACACAATTGAGATAGAAAAAATTAAATGAGTCCCGTTGTACAGAAAGTTAAAATTAGATTTATAGTACATAGTAATAAGATACAAGAAATGAGACTGAAAATAATTCTTGAAGCATATCATGATCCTGACAATTGATAAAATCACAGTTTGAAGAGAGTACATCTATAAAAAAGAATAGAGGCCTTTATTACTCCACTTATTGACAAATGCCTCCTCGTGTCGCATTGGTCGATCGGTCATGGGGTTAATCCGGCCATACTTCACACTAATCAGCGGGGGTTCATAAAGAGGATGCCCAGAACTAGTTCAGAGGTCTATAACTATAATACTCATTACACACAGAGTGCTTTCCACAAATGAACCACAGTACCTTCCTGATCTCGTTAAGGAACATAAACCATCATGCGAACTCTGGTCATCCTCGCAGTGGCTTTTGACTCGCCATCGAACAAAGATGGTCATCGCATCGCGCGCTTTCGGATGCGCTTCTGCGGCCGTCTGGGACGCTCTTCCTTCCAATATTTGGAAGCCACTGGAACTGTGCACTTTTAAATCAAGATTGAAAACTAATTTCTTAAAAACTGCTTTTTGTATTTGTTTGTCCTTCCCCCGCAACTCCGATTAGCATGATTGGCCACGTACATATGAATGAAGTTAGCATACATACATGACTCACTCCTGATATTAGCTGTGGCCAAGAACAGAACTCAGGTATCCTACTTCATAACATGGTGCACTAAACACTGCACCACCAATCCACCCATTGTGCAAGTATATTTATAATACATTTGCTTTATGCTTTATTCTTCATCTATTATTCTCACGGCCTTTAAAAAAATATCTTATTGTGGGCGAGTCTTCTTTGTATTAATATCTGATTATTTTACTGTTAAGATCTCTACAGTCTACAGTCAAAATCCTCAGCCAAAACACAGCTGGTGTTTCTTATAAATATCCTGAAGCTAAACGAGGTACGCTTTGATAAGACAGATGATTTAAGATTATTTTAACTATAAAACGGCAGCAAGTGGGAGCGACGTACTTCTTTAGCTTGAGGAAGGCCATCGCACGGTTGGCCGGCAAGAGTGCATTGTGAGGATCCGCTTCCATCCCGCGGGTGTAACAATCGTTGGCGGCGTCATAATCCCCAGTCTTAAAGTACTCATTACCCTGAAATCACACACCACAAGCTATTAGCCATTACGCCGTTGTGCAAGGGCCTCCAAGAAATTGGTGATAATGCGTCTATTATGCGATGCAAAAACTTAGCACGTTCATCAAAATATATATTTTTTATATGCTACATATGCCCTTAACAATGGTCATCAGCATAATCGAGTGCAAATTTATACATGCACCGATGTAAACATTATCTACAGTTCTTGTGATCCATTCATAATTCATCATCCTACATCAGTCAGTTTCTGCCAAGTTAAACTTGTTAACTATAAGGTTTCAGCATTATGCACAGCTGCAATGATAATAATAATCATAAAACAGTGTTTTCCCAGAAAAGCAACATTGAGTCTGAAGGCTCTTTTACAGGAGGGTCCTGCAACACTATTGCCACTCTATGTTTTTACCTCTGGGAGAAAACCAGAGAGCATGGAGGAAACCGCTGCAGAACATGGGGTGAACATCAAACCCAGGTCGTTCTTGCTGCGAGGCACATGTGTTTGACAGATGATAGACTTGTAAAAATGAAAGTACTAAAAGAAAGCTAAAACTATGTTCCACATCACTTCCATCATTTTTATTTGGGTCTTTCGGTAAAGTCACGTAAATAGGGTTTAAAAAAAATAACAAAAAACTACGACGTTTCGATCGCAACACAAGCGGTCGTCATCAGGAAAAGGGTTTGAAATGGGCGTAGCCCAAATGTCAGCAGCCAATGCAAGTGGTGGACAGCGACCGCGGCGGTGATGGGCTTTCCACCAATCAAAGGGCTGCCTGGCAAAAATTAGCATGTCAATGCAAGATCGCCGAGCATCCTTCACGGCAAGTGCACCAAGGTGGCTATGTTAATGTGAGAGATAGGCATGTTAATGTAGGATCGTGAAGCAGCAGCCTTGAGGATGGCGCGCGAGATAGCTGTGTTAGTGAGAAACTTAATCTATTCATGTAAAAAATCAGAGCCGAAAATAACAACAAATAGCTTTGGAAGGTGGTAGGCTGGGAATAACACGGGCCAGTTATGACTTCAACTGGTTATTAACGTCCTTCCAATGATTGCTAAGTTTGTACCCATCTTCTCAGTTGAAATTGTGTCCGTCTATATATATGGATGGCTTCATGAACAAATCTTTGCTGATAGCCAGTGGGTTTGAAAAGTAAGTATGTTTTAGAGAAATCTATTTCGTGTGGGCCCACCGCATTAAAACAATTATCAGCTACGGCTGAGGTATTGGTCCTACCGTGTTTCAGATTTGCCTTATGTTTACGAACACGGTCTGAGACATGTCGCTTAGTTTTCCCAATGTAACTACTGCCGCAGACACAGCTTAGTTTGTAGACGCCGGGGTATTGCATGTGAGGGATCACCACAAATTTTATGTACTGTGTTAAATCGAACCTGGATCTTGTGTTTGTTCATAATTTTGGATCAACAGACTCAGGAATGCATTGCAGTATTGTCATCTCCTGATCACTTCGCAGCCCAAGCCTACAACACCCCCACCCCCTCCGGTATTTACAGGCAGTCTAACTATCAAAGTACTAGCCAAGGTCAACCCTCCGAGCTTCCGAGACCTGACGAGGTTGTGTGCAGCCAGGGTGTAGTTTTGTCACAGGCACCCACACGGCAGCCTCTTCCTCATTTCTGCACCTTGTCTTTCTCTATCAGCGCTTGCTGCTTCGCCCGCAGCTCCTCGTACTGCTTTTGCTCTGCCACTTCCTCATCTTCGTCCTCCTCCGTCTCGCACTCGGGCGTGCTGCCCCGGTCCGCCTCTGCCGCTGCCTTCTCCTGCAACGTGCACGGATTAGAGTTCACGCATGTCAGACAAAAAAGAGAAAATGTTGCTTGATAAATTGGGACTTGAAGGAACGTGAAGAGAGTGGGGGTGGGGTTATACCAGACATGGGCAAAGTACGGCCCATTGGGCTTTTTAATCCGGCCCGCCGAACTTGTCCAAATATTATTGTTATTCAATTAAATTTTCCCCTTCTCATGTAATGCCCCCATTTCCCCATTAGATGGCGCACTTTGACTGGGAGTTAAGACATGTTTATCTATTGTTCATGTTCGTGCAGTTTGTTAAATTGCCTTGCAAATAAATGCTTTGCTACCTGTTAAAGGCCAAATCCTTTAATGTAATGATTTTTACATGTCATTTATAATAGTTCACACAGACACTCCATCCATCTGTTCCTGGCCCGGCCCCTCTGTCAAATTTTAGAACCCATTGTGGCCCGCGAGTCAAAAAATTTGGCCACCCCTGGGTTATACAGTGAATGAAGACAGCTCACGATCGAAGATGGAGGTAATTTGTGCCAAAGACCTGGCACTGGGGAGAGGAATAAAGATGAAGTTGGAGTGTGAGACTTCGACAATATCAACGGAGAATGTTAAACGATTGTTCAGCAGCATGTATGTGAATGCTATCATCATAATCATTATCTTCTCCTCACCACATCAAACTTGTCCCATGCACTGTAGTCACAAGATTTGATGCGGGCCTCTGATTTCCCATGCTTCACTCCGTTCTCTATGCAATCTGAAGCGGTATTATCTATCTTCTTTCTCTTCTTCCTCCTTAGATCTTTATTTCTCACTGGCGGCAAGTTTTGCTGTTAAAAGACGAAAATTAGTAAAACATTGTCATGAATAAAATGTTCAATTTGGTATAGGACATCAATTGTAAGATAACACGAGAAATGTAATGCAAATGCATTTTCACATCACATTGTTAAACCTGTCAAACCTTGTCCAGTATTCTGTGAATTGGTTTGTAATGCGTTGTATATTGAGGTGCATATTTTTCATTGAATTCAGATTTCATAGTAGGTAAAAAACATGCTGTTCTAGAAATGTTATTTTCATTCATCTCACATTTCCACAAACACCAGAATAGAACCACAACTGCTTTGTATAAACCCTGTTACTGTAGGCTCCCTGTGGGATTCTCATTACAAGCATAATTCACCACACATAAATTAACATATTTTTTTTTGTATACATACTTTTTCCTGCCTCAGTAGCTCTCCCGCTATATTTTTTCACCTGATAACGATTGCTTGTGTTGCAATCGAAATATCGTGATATTTTTTATTATTTTTCTATCTACGTGGCTTTACCGAAAGACCCCAAGAATAACATACATTTTCGCATTAATTATATTTTAATATCATGCATAAAAATAAAAAAATATGCATATCGTTCTAGTTTCGCGATGATTATTTTTCAGGTGTCATTTTTCTTATTTCCTACGCGATTGATGTCGCTCAATATTCAAGAAAACCAAAAAGCTAATTTCGAAGATAAATTACACCTTTAAAAACATACTTCTCAAAATCACCATAGAATTTTAGATGTAATAAATGCATTTAGGATGTGGTGAATAAGACGTGTGATAACGAGCGTTTGTTCTCTGGCCACGTGTTCCCCTGTCTCTCAGTCTGATAGCAAGCATGCATCTCTCCATAAATGTTTGTTACATTTGCAGCTTTTGTTTCCAACAAGTTCGTCACATAATAGTAGGGTTTTTCCCCCTTTTTTCTGGCAACAAAACTTAAACCTTTTTACAAGGATTCATGTCTGCATTAACCACAACACCTGCAGTCAAAATGCAAGCAAAAAACATACTATGATAATATATGCATTGTCCTTGAAAATGATTGGTTCACACCAAGGTTCGTCACAATTACTCATTACTCATTGTGACGAACCTTGGTGTAATTTTATGCAGTCACGAAAGCTTTAATACTTTTTCGTCACAATTGTCCAGAAACATCACACCGCCTATTAAATGTGCTTGGGCAGGACACGTTGCTCGAAGGGCTGGCGGGTGGTCGAGATTAACAAATGAGTGGCAGTCAAATCACAGCAAACGCCGGCGAAGGTGGGGGGGGTTAACATCAGCTGGTGTGCGTGAGCGAGGTGCATTGTGGCATTCATTGTAAGACCATGGGATGGAGACGGCTTGCTTGTGGAAGCCTTCGTCCAACGGTGGATAGACCATGGCTCATGATGACAACTGAAACCCGGTGGCAAAAGGCATCACGAATCAGAAGTTTATTTCCCGAGTAAAGCCCCCTGAGCTAAGAAGCTCTTTTGTCGAGAGCCACTCGGCCGGCGAACGAACGAGATTATGTTGTGGAGGCGTGGGTCAAAAACGGCGTTGGGTCAGAAACGGCGTGGGGTCAGGGCAACACGTGGCCCACAAGAGCCAAACGCAACGTGGCATCTGCCTGGCAATGCGGGCGGCGGGGTCTATTGGTACACACGTGTGTGATATATATTTATTGTGGGCGTTTAGTTAAGCGTTGACGCATACAAGGTCAGTTATCTCCAGTCAAACCTCCATTGGGCGTCTCATCTTGTGGTGAAAATGTCACGTTCCAATGACGGGGACCAGGATATCCATAAGTCAACCAATGCTGACTTCTGACAAAGCGAGTGTACATTAAAACACTGCTGGATGAGGGCCTACCTACGCCCCTACGGCTCGTGGGGGATATTTGAACATACTTCACCATGCTCGTCAGTGGGTGCCGCGTATTTTAAATGGACCCAGAAGGGCTCACAATAGCGATGGGCGGTCGGGATATGAAATCGCGACCTCCCCGCTTTGGACATCTGTGAAAAAGGGCTTCAAGCTCATCGGATTCTTCCAGTCTAAATAACGATTCTGACACAATACCAACGTCCACTAAACTTGAAAGGTGAAACGATTACATAATAGTTCAATAATACTGCACAGGAATGACACTGAAACACGTGGATAAGACGTGCCTCGCACTGAACGTTAACGTGCGCTATGCGGAAGAGGCGTCCTGACGAAGCGACGACCCTCCGCTGGTCGAGACTAACGGCGGACTGTCAGCTCAAGGAGGGAAGACCTCCCGTGTGTGGGGACGTGCCCACCAGGGAGACGGGGAGGCTGGGAGCACGAGACTCGTCTCGAACCGCCTCACCGCTCGCGATTCCAACCATTAGCGACCCTCCGCTGACGTCGCGTGGCCAAGCGCGTACCAACACAATCGACTCGCGCGCGCATGCACGCACGCGGTAATCGATTAATGATCGACTTAATATAAATCGATTACTAAACGATCTCTCGAGGAATCGTTTCGCACGTCGACACCCCCAACTTCGCTGCCTTTACTCTTTGGTTCTTTCGGTAAAGTCACGTAGAATGAGAATAAAATAATAAATTAACAAAATTAAACAATTTTGTGTTAAAATAATAAATTAACAAAATTAAACAATTGTGTTATTTTATTAATTTATTATTTTATTCTCATCCTACGTGACTTTACCGAAAGAACCAAAGAAGATGAATCCTTGCAGTCACGAAAGCTTTAAATCGAAATAGAATACGACGTTTCGATTGCAACACAAGCAACCGTCATCAGGTAGAACTCAATTTGAGAGACAAAACACAGACACGGAGACACACAGACAGACACACAAGCAGAGAGAGACAACACGAAGACACAACCTAGACACACACACAGAGAGAGAGACACACAACCTAGACACACAGAGAGAGAGACACAACCTAGACACACAGAGAGAGAGAGAGACACACAACCTAGACACAGAGAGAGAGAGACACACACAACCTAGACACACACAGAGAGAGACACACAACCTAGACACAGAGAGAGAGACACACACAACCTAGACACACAGAGAGAGAGAGACACACAACCTAGACACACACAGAGAGAGACACACAACGTAGACACACAGAGACCCAATGCCTCTGTATCGCTGCCTTTCCCGAACTTTCGCGGCCTGGTGGAGGTGGTGGGTGGGGTGGGGGTTGTGAGGGGGTCCCTCACCGCGCTCGCCGCATCCCCGCCGGCCTGGGCGCCTCGCAACTGCGCGTCCCTGATCTTGATGTCGCCTTCCCACGCCTCCATGTCGCGCAGGAAGTCGTGCAGATCCTCGGCGTTGTGCCGCATCTGCAGCTGCAGCTCCACCGCCTTCGCCTGAGCCGCGGACGCCATGGTTACAGCCTCCTTCCCCTTTACCCCGCCGAAGCCCAAGAAACTCGCATTGCAATTCCCACGCCGCACAGGCAACACGCGCGCGCAAGCGCGACTGATTGGTCGAGGCAGTTCACGTGACGACGTCTTGCAGCACGCGAGATGCTTGACTAGACTGGAAAATATTAAATACCTGTGTCCCCCCCCCGACGGAAGCCGATACGGATGGCGGATGGGATTCGCGATTTTTAAAAAATAAAATAACATCGCTATCCCGCTTATTGTTGAATGCGTTTACGGATGAACCGTTGGTGAACTACAACTTTCGTAAACATATGAAATGAGGTTGAACGTTTAGTATAAAGCCCTGCCGCTCTTATGCCGAAGCAAAATTTCTGTTCGCAAACATAAAAACGCGTTTTAGCTCCGACGGGTACCGCTCGCTTTCCGTAGCGCTCGTCGTTGAGACCAGAGGCAGACCTCGCCCAACGCGGGGGTCACGTGCTTGGAGCGTTCCCTGTTTGGCAATACAAAAAAAAACCGCGTTCGTCGAAGCGCAGACCTCGTGGGAGATAGAGGGTTGCGTTCCGAAATTGTCACCAACTCCCTCTTTGTGTCACTAATTCTGCATGATTTCCGTCCTTGTACTAAAGGAAGCCGAGTCGCCCTCCGTTACTTGTCTGTGTGTGTGTACACTGTTTTCAATTACGTCGACTGGGTCGACTCAGCCTCAAATGAGTAACCTGGTGCGGTGTGTAAACATCGCCACTAGGGAGACAAAGGCGGCCGTGCGTGGTGTTGGACACCCACCCTCGCGTGTGCCGTGTTTTGTTTTTTTAAAGGATATGTTCATGTGAACATTTATATGGTGAATAAATACTATTTCCTAATGCCGTCTCTTGTGATTCACGAAATAAAACTGCTTTACAATAGTAAACAATGTGTGCCTCTGTTGATTAATGTGCTCCAAAGGTGGATACACGGTAGATTCAAGAAACTTAATTTATCACGTGACTTGCCGTTTGAAATGTAAATTATTTTCACAGTACAAAAGATTACGTGAATTAGTGTGTATGGATGTGCACATTAATTCACAGTTAACACGTAGATTTTATAGGCCAATATAAGTCAATAGATTTGTGGGTTAGTCCACATGATCAACCAAATCTGTGTCGTAAGCCAGGGTGGTATTAGTAGGAGCGAGGATTTCAATGTTTGGGATTGTCAGTGGAGGAAGAAAATCGGTCAGTTTAACACGTAGGCTTTTGCGACCAATATCCATAATCGAGGTGTTTGGGTTAGATCGCGTAAATGTGTCGTTAATCCCGCCACAGCCATTTAGGAAGGGTTGTCACGTAGACAAAACATGCCAATTCGTTAATAGTTCAGCACACCGGTGTGTTTGAGAGTGAATGACACCGGTGATGTGGGTTTACTCTCCACATCTGTTTATGTCGGATGTGCCAGTAGGAGGAGGTGGAGATGTTTTGATATTACATGGAGGGGGCTCAGGTTGTTGAGTGAGAGGAGGAGTAACTGGGGTATGGGTGTTGACATTACTTTGGAGTCGTGGGCGGACACGTGGTTTGAATGGATGGGGCTGAGTGGGAAAAGACGGACAGCCTGGCAGTGGAAGAGATGATGGATATTAGCGCAGGCAGTCTGGAGTGGAAGTAACAGTAGGAGATGGGGTGTGGGTTTGAAGTGAGAAGGAAATTTTATTTTGGGGCTGGATGGGGTAGGAGGAGCCAGGCTTTGAAAGGAGAGGCCTGGAGTCTGGATTGAGAGGAGGTGATTGGTGTCTATATGTGTGGGATATGAATTCAGGCGAAGGGAGATAGTGTTTGAATGGAGGGGGAGAGTTGTAGTAGGAGGAGAAACGGCGACTATTAGGGCTCAATGTATGCAGTGGGAGGCGAGGGGTTTGTTGCGTGGCATGTGCAGGAGGAGGGAGGCTGTGAATGGTGGTGGCTCGGCTTGTGGTTGGAGGAAGAAGAGAAAGGCTGCGTTTGAGTATTGGGGCTCAGAATCTGGAGTGGGAGGAGTGAAGGAAGGAGTAGGAGGGTCTGGGAGTGTGGAATGAGCTCTCAATGCGAAGGAGCGGCAGGGGGAGTGGGGATCAGGGCTCCGGGGTTGGGTTGAGCTGGGCTGGAATTGAAAAACCAGGCGATGCAAAAAAATGCCCTCTCGGAGGACTGGTGAGTGCGCGTGTCAGGCAGTCCGTCTCCATCACACCCACTTTCCTTTCTCATCCAACTTAATTAATCCACTCGTTTGCTGTGTAAAGTGATATCCCGTCAATCGGTAAGTTCTGTACTACAACATGACGAAGTTTTACCACGTTTGAAGCGAAGGAACTTGTATTAAAGCGGCGTACAGTGATGCAAACGTTGTGTTCAGTAGGCTATTGCAGAGTTTAGCAGTCGACATCTGGACGGAATTTGTCTACATCTGACTGTGTTATAAACATTGCTGTTAATCCTTGGCAAACGTTTTTTTAAACCTACTAGCGTAAAAAGACATGTCTTTAAAGATAGATATTACAAAAATGGTCCTGGTTGCATATATAATGTGTGAACTGTAACGTACAATTGAAGAAATATTTCGTCAACAAAGCATTCTTTGTTTACACACTTTCTTTACACGCATACAAAAAATGTGTCATAGGCTAGAGGGTTACACCGTGGAGGTAGAGGGCAGTGCAGCACAATCCATTGTTGTACTGTACTATACGTCCTTGTACTGGTAGCAACCTCCTGGTTACACCAGCCCACAGGGGATTATTGTGTCCGTCCGTCCGTCGTGCATCCAAAAATGGGAGGGGTGGGGCTGGGTGGAGAGGGGAGGGTGGGGCTGGGTGGGGAGGGGCTGGGTGGGGAGGGGCTGGGGGGGGAGGGGCTGGGTGGGGAGGGAGGGGCTGGGTGGGGAGGGGAGGGTGGGGAGAGGCTGGGTGGAGAGGGGAGGGGAGGGTGGGGCTGGGTGGGGAGGGGCTGGGTGGGGAGGGGCTGGGGGGGGAGGGGCTGGGTGGGGAGGGGAGGGTGGGGAGGGGCTGGGTGGGGAGGGGCTGGGTGGGGAGGGGAGGGTGGGGAGGGGCTGGGTGGGGGGTGGGAGGGGTAGGGCTGGGTGGGGAGGGGCTGGTCACCCCGTGGTGCCCTTATAAAACTCAACGTTTAACCTACTCACGCCGGCTTGTGCCCGCCCTCACAGTCGGGCATATTTGCGGAATACACCACGTGGTGCCGCCATTGACCCTGGCCATTGACCAAGCAACCCAACGTTCCTACCAGCTCCCTCCGCAGGAATGTGTTCTACGCTCCTCCACCTTTACCAACCCCCACTGACCATCGTGATTAAGTATGGTAAATTAAGTCCCCATGACCTGTACAGCGTAGGGAGGGAGGCCTTCATCAAATCGTGGATTGCCAAAAAGGGCTCACAGTGTACCACATTTACAAACATGCGCAGCATACATGTAACGTGTACATAGAATATGGAATTTCATCCATCGCGTGAGCATAAACAATTTTTTACCTCCAGTTAAGCCCGTGTTTGTTCACTCTTACGGCAGCATTTGCTTTATTAAGCGAGCAAAAGGGCTGCGATCATCCCCATAAGCAATTAAACCGGTGGTCTGAATTCCACAATCGTACTGCAGTTTGCTTTGTAGTCTTCAGCCATGCCACGGACCCGTTGCATTTCAGTGACGAGCTATCATCTTCACACAACGTCATCTGGAGTCATAGGCAAGGGCAAATCCACGAACACAATCGGGCCCGTTCAGCGAGGTAAAGCTAGGACAGCACTGATAAATGTATAAGTTTGTAGTACTGCTCTGTTTATATAATTGGTTCCTTACCCACAAAGACAGCTTGTAATGTAACATGGGGATTGTAATGTATTACTCAAGGTATAATGTCCAAGTTGTATAAACATGATGCTCCGACCCAGTCTGTTCATCTCCGTGTTGTTTATCTGTGTACCCCAGTGAATGTGGGATTGCTGCTGGCCCTGTCGACAGTGCTGCTCATTATTCTTCACCACAATCTGCTCCAGAGCGCTGGCCAGGCTGACCCAGCCAGGACCTCAGGTGCACGTGACCCTTCAAACCTCTTCAAGCCTGACCCCTCCCAGCCCTGCCACCACCCTGACCCCTCCTAGCCCTGCCACCATCCTGACCCCTCCCAGCCCTGCCACCACCCTGACCCCTCCTAGCCCTGTCACCATCCTGACCCCTCCCAGCCCTGCCACCACCCTGACCCCTCCTTGCCCTGTCACCACCCCGACCCCTCCTAGCCCTGCCACCACCCTGACCCCTCCCAGCCCTGCCACCACCCTGACCCCTCATAGCCCTGCCACCACCCTGGTCCATCCCAGCCCTGCCACCACCCTGATCCCTCCCAGCCCTGCCACCACCCTGACCCCTCCTAGCCCTGCCACCACCCTGACCCCTCCTAGCCCTGCCACCACCCTGACCCCTCCCAGCCCTGCCACCACCCTGACCCCTCCTATCCCTGCCACCACCCTGGTCCCTCCCAGCCCTGCCACCACCCTGATCCCTCCCAGCCCTGCCACCACCCTGACCCCTCCTAGCCCTGCCACTAACCTGACCCCTCCTAGCCCTGCCACCACCCTGACCCCTCCCAGCCCTGCCACCACCCTGACCTCTCCCAGCTCTGCCACCACCCTGACCCCTCCCAGGCCTGCCACCACCCTGACCCCTCCTAGCCCTGCCACCATCCTGACCCCTCCCAGCCCTGCCACCACCCTGACCCCTCCCAGCCCTGCCACCATCCTGACCCCGCCTAGCCCTGCCACCACCCTGACCCCTCCCAGCCCTGCCACCACCCTGACCCCTCCTAGCCCTGCCACCACCCTGACCCCTCCCAGCCCTGCCACCACCCTGACCCCTCCCAGCCCTGCCACCATCCTGACCCCTCCTAGCCCTGCCACCAGTGGGTTGTAGACAATTATTGCTGAATAAGATGATAAAATAGGACGTTTTATGGACCATGATAATCGTATTATGCTTGCTGATCTATTTATGTATGAATACATTATTTAATTTCCTGACAAAGTATTCACGAAATAAGAAACGCCATCATTAACGTTCTAAATGGTTATAAATTTATATTTATACTATTTATATTATACTGAGTAGCAGTGGTGAAATTACATAATCCTGATAGTTCATTTAATGATGAAATTATAAGTTGTGTCACTGGATATTGCTGCAGCTTCTCAATTGCACATGGTGTAGATGCATTGTAAATGCTAAGTGTTTTCTATTTAAAAATGGCAATTGTAATAATTATGATAGGTTTATGTTGAGTGAACCTCCGTGGACAGTAATTTATCTCAGAACCACTGCACCACTGCTCCATCCCATACATTCTGTATATATACTGTACATATACTGTATATACTGTGTATATACTGTACATACACACAACGCAAATCTTCTGTATCTTCACAACTCTACTGTTGGGCAGAAGGCGAGTGGGCGCAGTACGAGGGGCAGCCCGTGAACCTTGACCCAGACGTGATCCCAGTGGTGGTGTGCGCGGTGGAGGAGCGGCTGGGAGGCACCATCGCCACCATCAACAGCGTGCGCATCCACACGAATGCCCGGCTCGTCTTCTACATCGTCACGCTGAGGCACACCATCCCGCACATCACGTACGTCCCGACGCACCGCCAGTCTTGGCCAGGACGTGTCACTCAACCGCGCGCGACGCTAGCGCGCGGGCAATGATGTGGTGACGGAATTACAAGAACGATGCGGGCGTATCAGACGCGGCGATGAAATTGGCTTTTAGTGTCTGGCACAAAGAACATTCGGAAACTCTCCGACGTGTTTCCTGGAACAGCTTCAGGAAATGAATTGAAGCTCCGAGCATGTGCAGAGAAGCGTCGGACATCGAGGCGAACAAAATGCGGGTACGACCCGAAAACACACCAGAGAGCCATACAGAACAGCTGCAAAAGCCTACGCAGTCGCATTTAGAAACTATAAAAGCCCAGATGATAGTTATATTCAATGTTGTCATTTTCACGCTCTGCGTGCTATATTGTAATCCTGTTGCTATGAAAATGGCCTCTTCATTCGCGTGAATTGTTACCAACTGATTAAAAACCAATGAGTTATCGCGCACACATTTATGTTGCACGCACCATGATCTTAAGACCATTTGGTATCCGTTCGCCAACAGAACTTGGATAAAGGAGTCGGTGCTGGAGAATATTAATTATTTTATTATTGAGTTCAACCCTGACATCGTGCGTGGAAAAATCCCTGTCATAGCTGAGAGGCCAGAGTTACTCAGCCCGGTAAGTCTGAACGAGTATGTGTGTGCTTCAAAAGCACTTGTCCTGCCCACTCTCTCATGGTTACCCATCCTTTGTTATTGCAGTTTCATACAATATACTAACATGTGATTAGTGTCAGTAGTCGCTATTTCACATCATCTCCACAAATTAAACCCATCAGTGGTTTAATTGCAATGACGTATACCGCTGCATTCTCTTATATTTTTTTCGTTTTCAATTTTATCCCGACTATGCTACTGGCATCATGTCAAGAGATGAAGGACCCATTTTAAACTCTCCCGGGGCAAGGCAACCCCCACGGCCTACAAGCAGTGGATATCACGAGGATACTTCTGAGATTTCTTCACGTGATCTATTTTCCGCACAGTAGGGGGCCAGCTCCTTTGGGATTGCTCCGCTCCATAAGAGCTTTTGAATTCTCCGAACTGGAATTTAGAGCTGGAATGGCTCTTATTTTTGTGCAGCCGTTCATTGATGACTTGGCCAATACTATCAACTCATTGCACTTGGGAACGTGCTTCAATCACAGAGGATGCCTGAATTTGAACCCAGGATCTCAGCTGTGTCATATCAGAGCTTTGACCTGCTGAACCACCCAGCCAGTGAAATGTTATACTTTTAATTCATCTTATTTAGTATTTTTTCTGGGTTTTTTCCAGCTGAATTTTGCCAGGTTCTATCTCGGCCATCTCATCCCTCAACACAAGCGCGCTGTTTACCTTGATGATGACATCATCGTGCTGGGTAAGTACAGAAAGTGACTGCTACATCTCCTACGTGGTCGCTGGCTCTGTCCTGCCTGACAACGGCAGTAGCCACCAATAAGTAAATAAAGATTATTTTTTTAATGTAAGGCAGTTGTACAATATAACCCATCTCTACGTCAACATGTGTACAACTCTAAAATAGAGCTGGTGAAAACATCAAATAAAAAGTGTTTTTGGTAATGCACATTATGACGAGGTATCAGTCTGCAAAGATACATAAACATCTCATTCTGATTGTAACTTATCTTTTTTTCCCCTTCTGTATTTGAATGACACCCGATGAAAGCATGTTCCTACAAAATGTGAGATGTAGGGCGCTTGCACTGTGTGGCAGGTTTCTCTCTGCGTCGCTTTGATTTCAAAAGTGCCGAATCGATATTTGCCGAGAGAGGAATGAAGACGTCGGAGCCAAAAATTGTGTTCCCTCGGCAAGTCCATATGACATTTATACGGTAGGTGCGATGTATGCCGTCAATAAAGCGACCGCCTGCAACGTGGACGCGACACTGTCGTTGGAGTGAGTGCTCGACTCAACAATCATCCTCCAGCATGATTTTAAAATTAGTGCCGCCCTTTTAGAAGGTGACGATGTTCATCCGGCCGTCGGCATGGCCCTCGTCATGGGAACGTGGAATGGAGACATTTTGACTTGTGTGTGTGTATTTAACAACACGCGCCACAACAGGCGGGCAGTGGTGGCTATGTACGCATGTAATCCAGCACTGTGGAGCCAAGGGTTGGTGGATCTAGGTGCAATACCCTGGTTCGCCAGGAGAAGGCGGTCCATCAAACGTGGACTCCACCTGTTCCATTTGTGTGGGATAGAGCGTTGCTCCCTCACACGCATGGGTTTACTCCGGTGCTCCGGTTTCCTCTGACACGTACACACTCATCAGTTGACCCAAAACACCTTCATATATATAGAGGACCGCAGAGCTCCAGCGATTGCTGGCGCCTGCTCACCGCCTGGCTGCTGCTGCCTTTCCTGCTCGACTGCGGTTCCTCCTCCTAGCGCCTCTGAGTCGTTCTCTCTCTTCGAGAGCGAGGAGCGGACACTGCGCAGTGGCGGCGCAGCGTTACGATTTGAACCCGAAAACACATCTTGGTTGAGCTCTACGGCGCAAAGCGTGAGAAGCTACGCGGCAAGCGTGCTTCGTCTTGGTTGGCTAGGGCCAATGCGGCGAGGTCAGCGGCGCTGGCGGTGCCCTGAAGGGGGTTGAAGGCGGTGAGCGTTGTGTGCCGTGGCCAGGGGACATTAGGGAGCTCTTTGAGAGCCCCCTGCAGGATGGGCACGCCGCCGCGTTCTCCGATGACTGCGATGCCATCTCCACCCACCTGCTCGCCAACCTGCGGGGCATCGTCGTTCAGGTGCCCGTGCCGTCGCGTGCTTCCAGTTTTCAAGTGTATTTGGTTAACCAGGTGGTGACTACCTCGCCGACCCTTACGCTTGTTGTATATTTGGAGTTTGCATGTGTCTCTCTGTCCCTGTGGTCGCGTGGATTTTTCTCCGGGTCCTCCGGTTTTTCTCTACACATTTAGATTCAACGTCACCCACTGCGAGTATTTGGCTGCTATACATTTCCACACGATAAGCCACTTGGTTGAGCGATCATTTGTGGCCACAGTCACGCCTGAAAAAAAGAGCTGCATAGCTCAGTGTGCCTTACCTGGTAAGATAAAAAAAGTGTACAGTGTAAGTGTCCAGGATGTAGTCTTGTGTGCGAGCGTGACCTCTGTGCTCAGGGGAATGGGCGCCAGTCCTCGCCAGCGCTCCACACGAGCTGCACGCTGGCTGTTTTCTGCATTAACATAAATATATATTGCCTGCGACTGTGGATTTGTAGACTCAGACGGCGGTGTATCTGTGTGAATCGGTCAACGGCATACGACGCGTGTGCCCTAAATGGTAGGCTGGCAAAGCTATGGATACGTATGTAAATTTGGCAGCGTATGCTGCAGGCGTCTGTCGATCGGTGAAGACTACGACGATGATGACGACAATAATTATGGTGACGATGACCGCGGCGATGTTGCCGGCTCCTACGCCACGCTTCCCACGGCGCTGACCTCCAGACCTCCTGATGTCGCCCCACCACCCCCGCTCCGGTGTCCGTAGAACATGTACATGGCGTACCTGAACTACAACAAGGAGAGCGTGAGCAAGCTGGGCATCCGTGGCAGCAGCTGCACGTTCAACCCGGGCGTCGTCGTGGCCAACCTCACCGAGTGGCGGCGCCAGAGGATCTCCGAGCAGCTGGAGCAGTGGCTGCTCAGGGAGCAGGAGTGCGTGCCGCTAGCTCGGCCCGCGTGTGCGCGTTGCCAGCCAGGGCGGTCGCCCTCCCCCCCCCCCGGTTTCGCCTCCACTTGGGCCCCCACGTGGCCGTGTCGGAAGATGGGGGAGCGCATGGGGGGGGGGGGGGTCTCTGCTCGGCTACAGATTCGTCGTTCAGAGCAGGGTTCTTCATCTGGTGTCCCACGCATAGGGCTCTCGGGAATGGCACCGCCGAGAGATAGCGAGATGATACGGATCCGAGACGAGAGGCGGGCACGAGGTGAAGACGAGCGAGCTGCAGATGAGAGATGCAGATTAGTGAGATGCGAGAGATGAACAATAGAAATCAGAGACCGAGAGACGAGAGGTGGTCGGTCAGTATATGTCTGCGTGTTGAACTTCTTTCGCACCGTACGTAGCCAACTGCGCTCATCACAGGTGCAGGGAAGGACAACATATTTACCCAAGAATGTCAGTGTGTAACGCGCGTGACGTCACTCCACGGCGACCAGCAGCCTCATTAATAATCATGAATAGGTTACGCCCTCCACATGGACCCGCCCTTCATTAACAATCATGAGCGGGTGACGTCACTTCGCGTGGAGAACCCCCCTCATTAATAATCATGAGCAGGCGACGTCACTCCACATTGAACAGCCCCCCTCAATAATAATCACGAACAGGTGACGTCCTCCAAATGGACACTCCCCCCATCAATAATAATTAGCAGGTGACGTCACTCCACATGGGGGGGGGGGCGGCGAGGCGCCTCCTCCCCCCCCCACAGCGTCAACTCACAACCCTCACTACAAAGACCAACCCCTCACGTCACGCGATCTCCGTAACGCTGTTGTTGAGACAGAAGTAAAAAGGACGTCACGATGAACAAGGGATTATAACCTTTAAATGCAATAAGTCTGTGTCACCGCGGCCTTACAAATTGCACACGAATTGATGCAATGAATATCACGTCGCGCTCTGCTTTTCGCTTGCAAGTTAATCACATTTACTGCGATACCCCCGTCCTTGGACGGGCTATCGGCGAGTGAAGTGATAACGTCCGTCAACTTGTGTAGACGTAACAGCGATGGTGGAGCTCTGCAATCGCTGGCTCACGCCACTGCTGGCGGCACGGGAGGGAGCTCTCGAGACCAATATCCTGAAGAGTCGCTCTCGAGGTTATTGATATTTGGCCTACTCTTCCACGACTTGCCCAGGCGTCATGGAAGAGGTGGGAGTACCCACACTTGCTGAGTAATTAGCTCAAAGACCCTTCTGTTCCGGTGCCTCGAGATGCAATGCACGGGAGGTGCGGTATAAACAATAATGAGGGTGACGACGACGATGGTGACGATGCTGACGATGGTGATGATGGTGACGATGGTGATGAAGGTGACGATGGTGATGATGGTGACGATTGGTGAGGATGCTGATGATGGTGATGATGCTGACGATGGTGATGAAGGTGACGATGGTGACGATGTTGATGATGGTGACGATGGAGATGATGGTGACGATGTTGATGGTGACGATGGTGACGATGCTGATGATGGTGACGATTGGTGACGATGCTGATGAAGGTGACGATGCTGACGATGCTCCTGTCGTTGCAGGGATCACCTGTACAGCAGCTCCGTGGCGGACGGTGTGGCCACTCCGCCGATGCTCATCGTCTTTCATCGGCGGCACAGCAGCCTGCCGCCCGCCTGGCACGTGCGCTACCTCGGTCAGCGCCCACCGCACGCACCCACCCACAACTTAGACAAAGATCCCCCGTGCAGCCTGCAACAGACTGTTTGGGAAAGTGCTGTTAGCGAGTTAGCACCGGTGAAGGCCGGCACGGCACACCAGGAGGTGGGTGTGCCAGCACCACTCTCGACCTCGTGGCGATGTTTACGCACCCCACCAGGTACTCGTTTGAGGCTGAGTCGACCTAGGGGAGGCCCAGGAACGGTTAAGATAACCGAGACTGGGGTTGGCCGCGAGCAGGAATCGAACTCGGGTACCCGGATTCGTAGCGGCGCGCCAACCGCTTACCCTACGTCCCTACCGCAGGTTGTGTCGCAGGGCTGCGGAAATACGTGGCGAGTGACAGAGGACATTGGAAGAATCAACTATTGTACTGTACTTGTGTGTGTCTGCGCCTGTGTTCCCCCACCTTCACCAAGCCGCGCTGACCTGCGCGGTTAAGTACGGTGGTCGAATGTTCCTTACGAACCGCACGGCGCGCGGAGGCCCTCATCGGGCATTATGAACGTACACGTATTTATTTTTTGCAACTTGCGGCATCAGCCGAAGAAAATTACTGGGGTATTCATCTCGGGATTCCAAGCAGACAGCAGCGAGCCCCGCGTGCAGCCGCGGTCTCGTCTGCGCGACATTGCTTTCCCAGGGTTTGCGGCTCGCCGCAGTTTGGTTTTTTGACTTTGCCGCTTGCGACGCGGGGTGCTGGGGTTGGGGGGGGTGTCCCGCAGGATACAGCGCAGCGATTCGCTTCTCCACGGCCGTCATGGGGGAGGCCAAGCTGCTGCACTGGAACGGGCCATTCAAGCCGTGGGGGAGGACGTCCTCCTACACCGAGCTCTGGGAGGAGTGGTACATCCCAGACCCCACCGGCACGTTCAGGCCGCTGAGCGCGAGCTTCAGGAACGCCTAACGCAGTGTTCTGTTGCAGGAAATACAATGAAAACATTCTGTTCTTCTCTTTAACGCCAATGTTACATTTAAAAAAAAATGTGTGATCTTACACCGTGTAAGCCGTATCATTCGCTGCTCTTGTTTTTAAATAAAGTTTCCAGAAACGCCAACCGTTGTATTGGTGTAATGTTAGTAACTGCGCAGAGGCTCACCCGCACCAACCGTGCTAACCTCCGAGTGCCACGGTTGGCTACGTACGGTGCGAAAGAAGATCAACGTACACATATTAAGTCTGTTCCCCTTATTAGATAAGTGTCATTAAAAGCGTACGACCGCTTCAGGAGGCGAGTGCAGATCACAAAGTGTTAATTTAGTCCAGAAGGAGGCTCCACGTACCAGAGGACATCCATCACGGAGCCGGAGTCATCAAATCAGCTGACGTGCCGGTGCTCGATTGATATGTGGCATCGCGACTCCGTGAGAGGCCTTCCAGCAATGGATGGATCGTGTCTGCTGATGATGATAATTATAATGACAAGTGAATGACATTTCCAACTGCCACGGGGACGAGATGTGGACCACATCGCCTGGTATGCAGGATGTCGTGGGTTTGATTCCGACCCTGATGCCTGCTGTACATTTGGAGTTTGCGTATTTCTCTCCCTGTGGATTTGTCTCCGTGTACTTCGGTTTTCCCCCGCACATTTAGAATCTACATGCGTTTAGAGAATACATTGCCACGTGATTTGTGGCCAGGTCGCTTCTGAAAAAAAAGAACAATATCGCTCAGTGGGCCTTAACCCGGTGAACAAAAAAGAATAGCTCATGGTTTAACTGCGCACACCCCGTGTCCCGACCGCAGAGGCTTCCGTGACACCCTCCCCGCGGCACTCGCTGGCGTCCGTCAGGTGTGAGTGTGTCAGTGAGTGAGGACACGAGGCACCGAGCCAGCTGGTTCGGGTTATGCGGTGAAGCGGGCACGTGGGGGAAGGCGGCAGCGGCTGCTGCTGCTGCTCGTCTTACAAAGCCAGCATCAAACGGGGTTCGAATCGGCAGAGAATTATCCAGCATCGTGCCGATACACTGCACGAAGGTCGGCGGCAAAGTTTGTAGATCGCTGAAGATAGGGCACACTACGAGAAGGGCAACTGCGCGCAGTCGTAATCGTCACCAGCCATCGGTTATCCGTTGCTGGACGAAGGCGTTCCCAAGCCGTCGCCACCTGCCGCTCTCTTGTTCGTCTTATACACCGGCTAGCAGCGCTGTAGGGGGCGGGGGGCAAGCCCCACCGTGTGCCCCCCCCCCCAGCGCGACGTCTTCAAACTAAACAGGAAACATTACAGCTGACACCGTGACGTCGAAGTGCCCCCCCCCCCCCAAAGCACGGGGCTCGGGGCAGTCGCCCCGATTCGCCGTAACCGAGGGACGGATCTGCCGGCTATGACGGTATAAATTCACCAACGTTTTCATTAACTCTGCCTTAAATACCCCCACTCCGCCCCCCCCCCCCCCAAAAAAAAGACTGAATTCGAATGATTTGGTCAGTGGTCTTTATTTGTGCTCCGAAGCAGAGCCATTGCCGAAGACATTAAAATGCTTTGTCTCTATTTAAGGCAGTGCTAATGACGAAGGTGCTGAGTTTATTTTGTATGTGCGCCTATACACCGCTGCCAACGCAGCCGCTTATTTTTAAAACGCAATATCCCCAATCCTCGTATTACCATTTGAAGCGCCGCTGACAAAGAAGGTGCCCAGATATGGCCCGACTCCGATCGCCAGATGCTGCGTGGCATGGCTCATGTGGCCTGAACAGAGAAAGTGTTGACATCACGGATGTTACGAGCCACGGTAAATCTATTCGCAGTACATTCACGTCTTGTGGCTCGCCCGCCACTCCGTTCCAGATTTCATTGAGTCCGACACCCTCTGGACTGGAATGCAAGCATTGCTGGCGACACTAGGGGGCACCATTACATTTAGCGGGGCGGCCACGTGTCTCTTGGCGTGGACTCGGATATCCCTCATTCACGGAGACAGCCACCTCGCGCGCGACTCGAGTCGACCTGATTTCTCCTAGAACTTGACTTGCAGTATGATTCGGTTTATGTATTTTATTAAACGCGGCGTTCCATGTTTTTTTTTTAAAGTTATTTACGTGAACGTGTGAGTTGGGCAGGATCATTACCCAGCATGTACAACTGACTGGTTCACTGAAATAAAATGTTCTGACGTAGATTTCAGAGCAGTCTTAAGATGTGAAATTCTCCGCTAGAATTGAGGCTAAGCGCTGCGCCACCGCTCCCCGTGAACGACGGCGTAGTGGGTGGAGTGGAGGCGCAGCGGTTATCACACTCTGCGCTAGCTAAATCCCCTTGACCTGATGACTTTACATCCCAGCCATGGATAACCCCAGCGGTAAGTGATAACCCCAGCGGCAAGTGATAACCTGGCTGGCAAATGACAACACCAGTGGCAAGTGATATCTGAACAGATGCTGGGTCCCACTCCACAATGACCCTTCACCAAAGCGCACGGATCAATGTGGCACAGGTGAAACCCGTTGGCCAATAAATGCTCATGGTCGACAGGAACCTGGTGACTCGAAGAAATAAAAAAACGAACAAAACAATCCGACAGTATGGAAAGGCCTTCATCCAGCAGTGGATTGAAGAAGGGCTACACCGTACATTATTATTACTATTAGATAAATTAATAACAAATAAAAAAATACTAACTTTTCTAACTCTGTGAATGGATGTGCGTCTTTAAGAAGGGCTGAGCAAGTTCAAAGGCGTCTGCTGGGGTTGAGACTCCATCTTAAAATAGTCGCGGCATCGCGACCACCC